TTGTGGAGTAAGGTAATCCCTGATGGATGATGATGAGATTGATAAGATATTTTTTGTCAGGAATACTTCGGTAAATAACTTGTGGGTTAAGACGTTGATTTTAAGTCAATGTAATGAATGGTACTACTTTCGATGATATGATTGATAAAAAAGAAGATTTCGAGAGTTGATGGTGATGCGATAGATACTTATATTCTTGCGGTCCAAAATCAATTTGTTTACTTCCCGTGGATTTTTCGGATTTTGTTGTTAATTCATTCGTACACTATGGTATTGTAAGCCGTGGTGCTATCACCGCGGGATTAATATGGGATGGGTGGGATGCCGAGAGGGAGACGAACGTCATAAATCCATGGGATTATGTAAATCTGACAAATCGAATTATTATGCTACAGTGCCATTCTTTCAAATCTCCTCATTCATATAGCAATCTTCTAGCCACAAGTGGACATATTGTCGTTACCAATCCCACATACATATCCATCCCCAGTTCATTTATAATATAGAAAACCCTAAGGCAATTAACGGCAAGGCCAATAAATACTCTCCGTTCGGTCAACCACTTCTGTCTGATTGACATCCATTAAAGTCATTCTTTGGACTGTCGTGATGGTTTCAAGTGCATCACACTCCGGATCGGTGTTCTGTAAGGTTTCAAGACAAGTTGCAAGCAAATCATCTCCTTCCCATTCAAACTTTTCATTGACTGCTATGGACTCGGAAGGTGAAACCACCGTGCGTCGAACAGCGCTTCGACCACGAATAAGCATGATACTTTCGACGGCAGGATAACACAATGTAAGCTTATAAAAAGGATTGATGGAAAGAGGACCTTCGTATGCCAACCGCTTAACTCTGAGCCAATCGAAAGAGAGAGGAGCGTGTCTACAGCTCATTCTATGACCATTACAACGAGCACATTGAGAATATATGCCATCACGTTGCCAGTCAAAGTAGATACATGGCTGGGCGCGTTGTCCTTCAGTAAGTGCACTGTCCATAAGCTCGTTCAAAGTCTTCTGGTCCCAAAACCCCATCTCAGGATCCCTTGCAAATGACAAGTCGTACCATTTCAGAGCTACTTTTCTTGACTCTTGACAAGTGTGAAGCAAAGCTGGAATTGGCGCATCCGAATAAAGTGCTGCACTCCATTTGGACTCTCGAATCTTTGTATAACGTGCTTCAGGACGGGCGAAGTGCCAAATTTGCCGTCGCACTTTTCCGGGAAGTTTTGAGAAGTACGGTAGCTTTTGAGGAGGCGCAAAATCTTCTTTTAGATCGGAAAGTCCCCACCCTACTGAAATTAGTATTTATCGAAGAAATTTCCAGCTGAGAGGAAAAGCTTACACTCGTCATCATCTTCAGGATCTGCCTCGGATTCTTCAGTCCCTTCAGTATCTTGATTGTACTCTGCTTCCTGAATTCCATCGGTCTCTTGAGCTTTTTGGGGCGATGACAGGCCTGTGGTATCAGATACTACTTCTTCCAAATCGAATAGGACCGAGCCTGCTTGAAATATCAGAGTATGTCTCTGTAGGTGGTAATAAGAGATGCTTACTGGTTTCTTCATGATCTGCTTGGCTTTCTTCGGGTTCCCCGAGTCTTTGATGTGATGATAAATCTATTAAGCCAGACTCCTCTTGAAGATCTAATAGACTTGACGCTAAATTGGAGGTTAAACGTTATTTATCGTGCAAATGGTTGATGAATTTGAACTCACAAGGCTGATGGAAACTTGCTTGAAACTTTTCACTTTCATGATTTCTTTTGACAAAGAGTGTAGTTGTTCCCTCCTCTTCTGCCAAATCCAAAAGATTCCAGTCTGGCAAAGGTCAATGATTACCTTGAAAGTTGAATGGTAGTCTGGAATTATTACAATTTTCTTGAGATTCAGTTGTCGTTGCTTTCCACTTTTCATGTTCTCCACTGTTCTTGGAAACTTTTTGAGTTGCTCGAGAGATCCTCTCAACATCCTCAATCTCTTGCGTGTCTTTGGGTGTGATTTGAGGTGCGGTCGATACTATTGCCTCTTGCCTCTGCCTCCTATGATGACCTTGTCAAAAATGATGCGATCGAGAAAGAAGAAATACTAACTGTTCTGCCATGAGATTCAAATAACGTTCCAACATTTGATCCATCCCCGAGTCCCTTGAAGGGATCGATAAACCCGCCATCTTGATTGGAATTTTTCAAGGAAACCAAGATTGTATTTGGATAGGTTGTTGTGCTGGATACTAAAGTTGGAGATATTCCTTACAAGAGATTCAAAGATGAGGGTGTGGTTGTAAACTAACCTGATTAGGCAAAACTCCATTCAGCAAGGACGACCTCTTTGGGAAGGACCACTTGAGTCTATGCCGGATATGGCCGTGTGAAGCTCAAATCGATGTGTCTCTACTCCATGTTCTCTTACCCATCATAAGCTTTTCTCATGGAAGTCACATGACAATCATTCTCTTCATGTCGAAATCCAATCTTAGGAACTCTGTCTTCTCTGCCATTCATGTTCACATCAAACTGTCATTTCCTCAACGTGAGCCAATTAATCGAAAATTTGTTTTTTAATTATGGTTTATGCGATAATCACAAGATTTTGACATTGGAACAAGCACCGACGGGATACCTTTTCCTATCGCAACGATACACGATCGAATAAAGGGAGAGCAACGTGGGAGGAACGTTGAAAAAGATCAACGCAGATAGCAGTACGAAAGGTCGCAATTTCCAGGTTATCCCTCCACCTGTGGCAATGCATCCCATATCTTCTCCCACCAATCCTTATTTCTAACAAAGCATCATCTGCCTCGTTGAAGACAAATTGATTGAATCTTGTTTACCGAATCACAATTTTTCTTATAATTCAGATGGTGTGTGTCTTATGACATATTCAGTTCTTCAACATACGCTAATACCGCAAAACTGTTGCAATTTGATCCCGTATGGACTACTTACTCAGAACGTAAGAACATTGTTCCAGTGTTGCAGCTAAAATTTATACGTTCGGTCTCTGAGATTCCTTTCTACGCTTTTTGATCTTTTTCGATATTGAACAACTTTAGCTTGAAATTTGTAAAAACGTGAAAATCTGGAGCAGGTATTGACTGTAAGATGTTCTTGGGCAAATCTCGTTGGATAGCATTTCCGCATGGTCTTGGTGGAACATCGAGGCTACTGCTAAAACTTGCCCACACACATTAGTCTGTCACTGTCCGAGGTGGAGAATTCTACTGCTTTGAGTAATATGGCTTGAGATAGTGCTTTTTCCGAACTGGAAATCGCGTTTGAAAAGCACTAGAAGTTGAGCCACTGGCAGTTCCAGAAACATGTCTTGTCGGGATGAAATTAGCGCCTGGTATATTCCCGGCGATCCTACCGTCTTTGACCACTAAATGTTTTGAAATCAGTATTTCTACTATCCTCGATATCTGATCCTGCAATTGGAGTCGACAACATCCAATACTGCTCCCAAGTGGCATGGTTGATCTGCCGCTGATTGGTAGAATCAGTAGGTATCTGATCCTTCACCTTGCGCGTTTTGAACCGCCTCTGAGACTCTACTATCTGTTCAGATTTACGATCGCTGCATTCGCTTTCATACGAAGCTCCAATATTGTCAGCATATTGTCGGAGAACCTCCAAGACGGAAAGTTCTTCTTCCATACTTACAGTCTGATGTTTAATGTGTATTTCACCGATTGCAAGGAGGTCCAATGTATATTCGTGAATATGTAAAGAGATCTTAAAAAGGTTATATCTGCTTATTTGAAGGAGAGGCTGTCAAAGCAAAGTTGTCCAGCTGTATATAGCATGCAAATGACTCGCTGTATATGACTCCAATCCACTCGCATTTCCCAGATATCGCTGAACAAATTCGGCTGCTTTACCTCGTTGTTAATTTGAAATTAAGAGAGTTAATAAATCAAAGAAATAGCCCAGGTCAATTGAAATCAAATCAGCCATCGCAAATACCGTGCAAACGCCATTCCATGAGATTGATTTCAAACGTTTTCCGCTCTCTTTATTAATATCATTGATTCAATGGTCCACTGATCTCATGCCTATTGGGTTCTATAGTGACTAGCCTCTGCAATATTCAGGGGATAGAATCTATGATTAGATGCTAGCATGAGCTTATGAAAGATGAAGTCATGGATTTGAGATAGATTCTATTTACGGTTTCTGGCCAAATTAGGCTAGAATCTGATTAGCACAAGAGTAAACCAATAATGACTTTGAAAGCATGAGAGTACTTTTCCGTCCATTAAATCGCTTTTCCAACCCTTCCGTCTTCTTTTCCAGTCCAGCAGTATCATTATTGATAATATCGTCTTTATTGTTACGCTCGTTATCCACCTTCCCCTTTTCGCTCTTGGAGGTTTTTGTTTTACTATCCATTTTTACAAGGTAACAAAATTCAAAATAATCCATAGTCCATCTATGTGTGCAAAATATCAGAGAAGTATTGCGGGGTGACTACCTTGATTTTTTTATGGTTGTTTGATGGCATTTTCCACTTTTCAAATCCAATTTTTGAGATTCGCCTATTATCTCTTCATGTCCTGGATCCGAGAAGCTAGTTGTTATTATCTTGTCTGATATCATGTTCTGTATGATTCTATTTGAGTGGCTAGTTCTGGTAGTTACATAGAGCTTGTCGTCTGTTACAGCTGGCTTGAATGTAGCTATTGAAGCAGATCAAATTTATGCCAACTGGTATATTTAAGCCTAGCTCAATATTCCTATAGGGCCGTTTTTGCTAGACTAGCAGTTGATCCCGTGATGGAGTCCGTTGCGGATACTAAACACTATTTCACGTGATTAGCTGACTACGCTTAAAGACCTCCATCAACGATGACTCTGAGCAATACATGTCACTTTATCACCTTCATCGGCTAGTAGTCTATAGAAGTCTTGATATTCTGAAATTTTATCATTGAACTGTTCTCGAATTACAATACCAATCTTCCCATTCAATACCCAACCCCCAATATTCCTTTCGCTCAAGCTCCCCCCAAAATGTTTTCCGCGCTCTCAATCATAGCCTTCAATTGCTCTTGAATGGCGTCCAATCGCTGTTTAACATACCCCCTCATTCTTTCCAATTCAATCTCCAATTCATCAATCTCCTCTCTCACACCATCTGCCTTGACCCTGTAAAATTGATGAGTTTGGTCTGCAACCCCCTTTCGTTGCTTGTAGTCAAAATCCAGATAGCCACGCTTCTATCAAAGCAACAAATTAGCACACATTCAGCACATTTGCACTTTCGTTTCCACTACCGTCAACTTCAAAGTCTCACACCTCCTTGATATGGGGCACAGTGTGCTTACCTTCTTCTGATACGCCACAGTCATCAATCTCTCCAATTCAATCTTTCCATCGTCCCTCAGCTTCTTCTCCTGCATCTCCATCTTCTCTATCTTCGCCTTCCAGACATTTAGCACCTCAAAGTTATAAAGCATGATCCTCCTCTCAACCGTTTCGAATTTCCGCGCGCGTTGGCCATCGCCGGCGACTTGAGATCTACCAGGGAAATCAACAACAGCCTCAACATTGTTGTAATCGAGGACTAAAATTCATATTTCTTAGTACGAGCCAACACATGCGACATAACGTATCTGAAAGTTAAGAAGATACTTACAATAGTAAACCCAGACGTCCCACTCGATACACTGCTGCATATCCCGGGCCGGAGTCTTCCATTCTACCTGCTTGGCACGACAGCGCTCTACTGTTGCGTCAAATTCCTCCTCGGTGCAGACGCCGCGGTAGGAAAAGCTTGTCATTGAGGACAAATTGCTTAATGTCCTCGAGTACAGATATATACTCAAGATCTGCCATTGTATTGCTGTGTCGTTGTTGGACTTTTTGTGTGGAGATAGAAGCTGTGTTGATGGAGAGAGAAACAGGATTGTAATGAGAAGGAATTGAATTTAAAGAGAAAGAAAAGTCTGTGAGTTATCCGGATTTCTTCGGGTATGATTTTATTCAGGCCTCGAGGCAGGAACTTTTGGATGTGTGAACGACTCCATGATGGGATAAGTATGCATGGGATGGAAGTTGATTTTGACTTGTAAGTATGTGTCTAGATGTTGTTTATTCCACAGACTCTGAGTGTCAGTTCCTGAATAAGACTCAGTAGGTTGCATTGCCCAGATCTATAGAAGCCAGGGAGTTCAGGTATGGATGATTTCATTGACTATTTTCAACTATTTCAACTATTAATCACATAAAAATGAGATGTTCAGATATGAACAATGAATACATCAAAGACTACAGCTATAAATGACTCGTTATTATAATCTTTCAAGCACAAATAGCCAATCCCTTAGGAAATTCATCCCATCAACCAAACAAAAGCCTTTCCATCCATCCAGTCCTAAGAATACTTGAAACCTAACTTTCTTTCGAACAACAATAATCAAGTAGATTCTTCTCTTAATAGATAGCTTAAAACACAAAGAAATCTTCCCTAGGATACTAAAAACAGCTTTTGCTTGCTCCTTATTAGTTGAATTTTCGGCTAACAAAACTCGCGAACGCAACCGATTACGAGGATATAGAAGCGAATTGTAAATATTCTCAGACAGAAGTATACATAGATCATTAGCGTGCAGTATGATGTAATGAAGAATAGACAACTATTCTTACCGCGATATTATAAGGTGTATGGTTGATGCGGTAACCCCATACATTGAGGAACTATCCAGGCTAGATCTTCCGATGAACATTCTGCGTGAAGACACAATGTAGAGCAGCGACGTGAAATTCAATGAGATTCTTTGAGATGGACTGCTTGTTGTAGACGGTAGGCTGCAATGTTTACGAGTTTTCCCTACTATTCCCATAGGAGTGACCGACCGGTGCTAAAGTTTTAACATTAAGTAACAGGCACACCTCAAAATGTTGTAAATGTTATAGGCAATATACGGCTTGAGTGCGGGAACATTGATAGGATAGGACCGACAGAAAGTGATGCTCTGACTGCCATTGATATTTATGGAATGAAAAGCACGAATTTGAGCACGCGAGAAAATTTCAATCTTTGGATAGAGCTATATGAAGCAGGGTATCATTAATCCTCATCTCCATATCCCGAGGAATGATACTCAAATTCCGAAGGTAAAGGAGCATCCCCTTCAAGATCATCATCTACATTTCTACTCACAAGCGGCTTTTGGGCTTCTACCTCCGGTATTACACTTGGACTCGCAATCGGCTGCTTTGGTGCAGATATCGGTAATTTGCCCAAGACCCTGGTCATCCAAGCCGCCCATTCCCACGGTCTATCTCTATCCCCCGGCAACGAATTGAAATATTCCCAACCCATTACACCACCGAATGTAGGATAACTCAACTTCAGATTGAGAAGGACTTCCTGCAAAGTCTCAAAAGGCACCCATCCACTACCATTCCCCGGATTGGTAACCATACCCACCACGATTTTATGTGCAGGCCACCCCCTCATCATCATCATATCATATCCAGCTGTCTTGCTCATATCCCCCCACCCGCAATAAAACTGGGTGTTGTACCATTCAATACTACTTCCTCTCATAACCTCCAGCGCTTCGTAGTTGAATCCGCTTAGGTTATGTTTTGGCAGTTCAGATACCAATGCCGCAGCCACAGGCGCAAGTGTAATGATAAATCCAGCTCCGAAATCTGCTTTCAGTCGATCAATTAATCGAATTATTCCGGCCAGAGTCATTTCTTCTTCAACATCGAGATCTAGACCATCGAGACCCCGTTCGCGGATAAGATTTCGTAAAGGAATGTAATAGAGTTCGAATGTGGCATCGTCTTGATCGAGTCGTGTGAATGAACCCTTTGCTGCCCCGCCAAGCATTCCCATTACTTTTATTCCGGAGGCTTGAAGGATTCGAAGTTCCGCCCACATGGTAACGAATCGTTCATGTTGAGGTACATGATCGTTCTGCCATTTGTTAATGCTTGCACACATAAATCAAAGAGAGATGTGGCAGATGTACCAGAGTTATATTTCCTGGGGGATCATTGAGATGAATCGCGGCGACATTGACATGTGTCACCGCGATGTTCGGTTTGGTTATGATAGGTAATATTGAACATAATTTGCCATCGGGATGATGTTGCGTCTGATAGTATATGACGATTCTAGGAGTTGTAGGAATTGGAAGGGGAGGCATTGGAGAAGAGTCGTTGTTGTTTGATTTGTTGGTGAGGTTGATGGTGGTCAGGGTCCTAGAATTAGTGTGGGGCTAGTCTGGTGGGGAACGAAGCTTATCCCGCTCGGAGTTTGACGTCGCCCTACGAATACCATTGTCACCATTGTGCAAGTGTTCATGATGGCATTGTGTGTATATCTTAGTTGTCTTGAACGAAAGACACATGCGAGGTCAACTTGTCGAGCTCAAGTTTGAATACACAACGGCGATAACGATTCTAGTTTGATGAAATTATTCCTCCTGCTCCTCAGTCTCATCCCACGATGGTTGGTGATCATCATACAGATGAGGCTGCGAGCCTTTAGGTGTGCATTTATTTATTATGATTCTATAATAATACCGCGGGAGACATTCGACGCCTTAGGAGTTCCCATTGCATTCCGTATGTTACTGGGCAGTGCGAACAGATGACCACAAGTGCTGCAGCTTCTTCGCACAACACGGTCATCAATAGAGGCTTCTCGCAGCACTTAAAAGGTATATTAAAACAATAATGCGTCCGGCAAAACACTCATCCTGCAGAGTAACAACCATCTACATCTCAGAGACTGCTTATCCTGTGCTGTCCTATGTCTCTGCATCGCGTCCATTGACCTTGGAATGGCCGCATTTCATATACCGAAGCATACAAAGGCTCCAGGCTCTACAAATCATCTTCAAAGCAGTTGAATGGCCGTGTATCACGGCAAGCTGTCTTTGTCATGAGAATCCTTTGCCACATGTGGTGCAACCCTCTAGAGCCAGGGAAATTGCCTTGCTCTGCGCAGAAAATGATACTTAAATCTGTTATTCTTACGCTGAATGGTTGTGCAGAAACATTGAAAAAGCTAAATGAAGGGGTTGGCAGACATGGAAAGGATAGACTTTCGAACAGACTTACATATTGTTTTGTGCGGGATGATTTAGCGGCCACTTGCAATATGTCGGATAGCTTACAGCATAATTTGAGCAATGCTCTTCAAGTTTGGATGTTGTATGTATGTCAAAACGCTCTAAAAAGTATGACACTGAAAGCAGAACAGGGAAGACAGTACTCGTCATCGAGCAGATATAACCCAAATGATTACGGATCAATCTGTCACGCATTTTCACACCTCACGAAAATTCGAAGGCTGTTTTGAAGATTTGTCAAAGAAAATAGATATTATAGTAAAGTTGCGTACATCAGAACCCATGAATACATTACTAATTTGATATAGATATCAAGTAAACAGCAGCCTCTTCTCCAAAGCCCTTCTTTACTGGCACAAAGATGCTTAGAGCTTAACGCCGCCAAGGCTGAATCCAGCTTTTTACTACTGAAATACAAACACAACGTTCGACTTCGTCTCCCTCGTCCGTGTCCTTGCCATTTCTCAGCATCTCAATATGCTGATGGACCTCGACATTGCGCCTCTGTGGATTCTGTCCTCTGGAAACAAGACTCTTCGAGTTGTCATAATTGTTCTACGTGTAAGGGTTGGCAGTTAATTCGAAAGAAATTCAATATTTGCAACAAATTGCTAGGATACTCCATAGCATTCACTATGTTTCTCACACGTGGTGCCGGCGGCTTTTCAATCGGCCCACTGCTGGGCTTTAGTGCCACAGCACCTACTCCTTCACCTGCTTTCCGCTTATCATATGCTACTAAATAAATGCATCCCAATCGGTACCCCTTTCAAAGGGCTCTGGATGGTAAGAGCTGGGTATACTCGGAATATGATGCCTTACGGATGCACCCCAAGTTTGATAGCTCAGGTACATCAGACTTGGGCTCAAGTATCCACATTATCAAATATGATGAACCGGACAAAGCTATGGAACAGCTCGAAGAGCTTGTAAATCATACTTTGAATGAGTTACGTATATTCTTTCAAATTCAAAACGGGAAAGCGTCGCCCAACGATTTAGACAAATCGGGCACGCCGCTATCAGAGGTACGTATCCAGAGCATATTCCACACAGGTAGTAATGTCTACTCATCTAAATGAACATAGGCTGTTTGTAGGTGGCTAATTTTTGCGTTTGACAACGAGTTCATCAAATTATTGAAAGCACGCAGCTACTCTAAGAAACAAAGACTGGCTAAGTGCCAACATGCGATCGGAACATTTCGCACATTTATCGAACATGCCAATTCCATCGGTTTGAGTACATCGTAGGTCTATTTTTTCATTATATTGAGCGCTTTCACGGTGAATCGTGGTTTGTTATAAACTTGCACATAATTCAAAGTGATAACATTTGCAGAAACATCTTGGAATCTCTCATCGAGACCCGATTTTCGTTGCCTGAAGATTTCGATGAAGGAGACTTTACAAGACTCCAGTAGAGACTTTGCAACCTCGGCGCCATCATAATGCATACGCCACGATATACCTGGAAGACAGAATTCCTTGGGATTTTTATACGCCAGACACAGCGTATCGATGGTAAATTGTGTTCACCCTTTATTTTAGACTTAGCTAGTAGTAAGCTCAGTGATTGACATGCCCACAATCCTCGAAGCAATTTTGCTACAATCTGAGAAAGGATTGGAACACGTACTCTCTCAAGATCCGTCGGCGGTCAATGAAGTTCTTTACGAGAGTGGAGAAACTACATTACATATCGCACATCAATGGCCGCAAGGATTAAGGATTCTTATTCGTGCAGGGGGTAACGTGAATCAATGCAATGATTGCGGTAAACTGCCGCTTACATTGGCAGCGAATAGAAATTGCTATTTATCAATGAAGATTCTCCTTGAGAATGGCAGCATGCTCCGCACTTACTCCCCGCAATGTTCGAGGAATATTGAGGGGTGATGATGCAAGTGATTTTTTGAGATGCTTCAGAAATCGGAGGGATTCATGGAGATCGACAATCTTTGATGATTTGATTCAAAGAAGATATGGGTTACTCGAGCTGGCCCGATATTTGATGATCACTTCTCCCACAAGCATGTCTGGATGGCCCAAAACAGACAGGGTTCTGGATGCTCAGGCTGCTGATGTGGTAGAGGAACTCAAGAGCCATAGGGTATGCATAGACACGATACCCTTCCCTACATTTCACCCAAAGACAACTACAGTCTATCACATGACAAACCTCACCCCAGAATTAGCAGAAGCTCTTTATCAATTTGGCTTCCTCGACGTAGATTCACGTGATCATGAAGTTCGCTCGCCTATATTGGCACAAACAAATTGTGAGACGTATGAAGCTTTTGATCTGCCATGTTGGCTTATCACGAATGGAGTTGATCTCACAGGAACACTGGATAAGGAGAACATGGTTACAACTTTACATCAGGTTTGCAGTTCCGTCGGAAACAATCGCAGACGTTGGATCATGGAGAACTATGAGGAAACGAAGAAGCCTCCTGAGGATATTGACCTGATGGATATGGAATTCTCGCAAACTGTCCCATTAGACCTTCTAGACGTTGATGTCATCGATTCTTATGTCTGTGCTTGCTCAATGAGTGGCTGTCTACCAATCACATGGTTTTTGGGTAATTTGCAGCTGGAGTTCAGAACTGGGAACCCTGATCACCTTTGTGGAAACCGGGAGGTATTAGGCTACGACCCGTGGGTAACGTGGCGGGGCGAGTTAATGGTGAGAATATTTGCAAAAGTGCTGGAATCAAAGTTTAGCACATGTCCCTGGCTAGTCCATAACATTATTCGACAATGTACTTTCTATAAGCTGGGACTTACGCATACGTGTAAGTGTAGTCAGAGAATTTGTCCACCTGCCAACTCGTTTACGAAAGATGAAGTATACAATATCATGGAAGAAGAGCAAGGCATGATGGAGCAGCTTCAGAGCCTCACAGCTGAGTTTGAGAAGAATTTTGCAAAGTCTGGGAAGTCACTACATTCGTTTTTGAAAGATGATTGGAAATCGAGGATGGAGGAGATCATGCCCGAGAGTACTTTAAACGAAGAGTATATGAAAGAAGTTCGAGAAATTGGTGTGATCATGCAATGAATGCTCAAAGATTTCCTCGTTGATACTGGGCAGGGAAACTATCTCCGCAATACAATACACGCGTCTAACATGAAGGCTTAAGCTCCTGTAAATCCATCCATTGTTTCAGCGGGGCATATACGGAGAGAGTTTTGATATGGAGGAAAGGAGCACTAAGTTTCCTCTGTGATAAATGAATTCACAGTTTTGTGGGCTTGGATCACGAATTTTGTTTCAAGATCAGGATGATCTTATCCTCCCCCCTTTTGTTTGTATTAGCTGTCTTAAATTTATCATTACTTTCTGCAGAACTTGTCATCTATCGACCACTTACAGCTATTTGTGAAGATTGGATAGTATTCATGGTATCAGCCAACAATTTTTTTTAACATGAAATTTGCAGATTTCCGAAAATTCTGTGTTTAGCAACATGGTTTTTGTAATATCTTCCCAACACTAACTTTTAAAAGACTATGTATTTACTTTTCAAATGGCAGGCACAAGGTGTCCAAGTTTGTCTTTAATAGGTACGGAAGCAAGTTTCTTATCCAGTATGTCCAATCTTTCACTCGTCCCAATTTTAAGACAAAGGGAGTCAGTGATATCACCAGGAGTAAAATTTTTGTCCTAGGTTCAAACTAGGTTATCCCGAGTAAGCGAGGATCAGATGTATTGTCAAAACATGAGATCATTGTTTGAATCTCTATGGCATTTTTTTTGGGGGGGGGGGGGGGGGGGTAATGGAAGTCCTGTAACGGAACTTTTTGAAATGATGTCAACCTATTATGGAGATTTGATACCATCGTTTAGTTTGTGAGAGGTATATGTGCTATTTCATTGCGAACTGATTCGTCGACTTGTTTCATGTGCTAGCTTGGTAAGCTTCGTTAGGGTAGAAGCATGTTGGCATAGCTATCATAAAGGTATTGAAGAGCTTTTATGAGTTCATTGATGGAAAGAGAGTTGTATGGCAAAGTTGAATTATCCGTCCACTTGGGCTGACTTGGGCTTGTTCTAATAATTTGTTTCCTTTTCCTTTTTTCCCATCATTTTTATTACTGTCTGAAGACCATATTTATCAAATCCTGAGAGTGTAGTGATTACTTTGAGGGGTAATAATTACCTAATACACTATCACTGATAGATACCCAGGAAATTTAATTCTTGTTCAAAACTGTAGAATATATCTTTGCATTAATGATGAGCTCAAAGAGAAGTTGCTCACTTTTTGTTTTGATGGACTTTGCTTGGATAAAAGAGGTTCTTCCTTGACAACAAAATTATCAACCATGAGAGCCACTAGGTTTGAAGCTGACTTTAGTTGATGGCATCCGTTCGTCCAAGTGTCTGAACAATGGCTGCTGGCTTCTAAGTTGTGAAAATAACTTCAAAGAATAGAGTTAATCATTGTGTATCTTAACCATGAAAAAAGTATTGTTCAATCACAAATGACTCATTGAACTGGAGTAAATTTCAGCAGTATTATGTCCCTTTTTAATGGGTGAATCTGCCATAGACACAAAATCGACATCCGTTGAAAATGGAAAAACTGAGTAACTCTCACTGGGAGGACTTCCATCTAAGAAATATGCAGAAATCCCTTTTAGCTATTGAAGCAAATCTTTATACCTGGCGTACCTAGAAATACAGTGATCTAAATGATTCTACTCACACTTATGTTAAGCTTGTCTCTCGAGTGGCTCGAAGTGTTTGTATATTCTATAATCAAAAGAGCAATCGATCGTATGATTTTGATCTTGGGTTGTCAAATTCACTCATCTGAGTGATCCCAGTCAGTGCCGCCGTATATGATTGGAAAATTCTGATGATATGGTGGGAGAATTATCGGAACTAAAATCTTATTAGCTGTAGAAACATCCAATCCGCTAGTGATACAGCATATTATAACTACGGTCTTTGGGCTCTGCAGCTTGAAAGGCTATTTAATAACCTCTCTACTCTTCAAATATATTCCTTCATCTCCAAATACTCTCATACTCTATTGACAAAATATTCAAGCACTTCCTCTAAATCCAGTTTGACCTCAACGCGATCTTACACACAGCTTATCAACCATGGAAAATTATCCATTTTACCAATCAATCGGCCGTCACCTGCAACATATGATTGTTGTCGAGTCCCGATCATATCGCGGACAAGTTAACAATGAGGAGTTTTTGGCAGTTGCTGCTTATTGGAGCGAAATGATTCAAAACAATGACTATCATCGAGCTCTTGCCCGCCCCGACTTTAATTTGTACAACATAGACTTTAAGATATGGGAACACTTTTGTGAGTTTTAGTCCATCACCTCTATCTAAGTAATCGAGAACTAACAAGCCATGACAGTCGCCATGAACACCACAGACAATTGGATATCATTCCCATGTGTCGATCCTCGCGGACCACTGGACACACCCGACATGAATCCATTCCCAGTCACTCACTATAGTCCTCGGCCAGCCGATCGTGCACCCATTGCGCCAGCCCAACAAAAGACAGCCCCTGATGTTGGCGCTTCTACTCAAACTCCAATCTCATTGGCTAGAGAACAACTTCCGGCATATCACCACGGCCTCTCCGCTAATGAGATGGAGCTATTAGCACGAAGAGAGGTCAACGAACGTTTAAGACGAGGAGTCAAAGGCCGGTCTGCCAAGCAACCGCGATTTCAGTAGGAAACGTCTAGGTGCTGGTTGAAATCACGTTCTCTGTGGTACTGATACTGCTTGTTGATCTTACTCCCTATCTTATATCGGACGGATTCTACAAGTTGTTGTGGATATACAAGGGAGCTACATTCACAAGGATGTGAGATAATGAGGTTTTGGGGGACGGGGGGGTACAGGATTCATAACGATGGATTTTGGGAAAGTGATATCAACTCAACAGGCATCTTTCCATATGATCCATTCTCTGTAGGCTATAGCAATCGACGAAGTTAGCACATTTATCAAATACGATTTTGTGTTCTCTTCCTACACTTAGAGTATTTGCATGCTCAAAACTCCATACTGATAAATTATTGATCAAGACTAAATTATTCGAGTGCATTTTCGCAGTATCGTAACCCCACGAGAGAGTTTCAATTAGATTATCAGAGTAGAAAACAAGATTTCAAGTTAGATTTTCAACACAAGCCTTGCTTCGCAGTCTTTCGAGAACTAAATTACCTTGCTATATGCCCCCTGCAGGGCAATTTTTCTATGAATATATTTGTGTATTTAACACGCCGTCTTCGCATCAAGCTTGAATAATAGATTCAACGTGGTTGGTTTTGAGATCCTTTATGATAAACGGCTGAACAAAAAACATGACTAATAAGAAACAGCTTGTTTGTATTTCCTTCCAAGCATCATTGAGGTCCTCTCGGTGGATACGTAGATTAGATTCAGTCATTCAGGAACGAATTTGAAGACAAAGTATTTTAATGAAGGAATTTCGAATGAGTCTGTCATATTTCTGAGTGGTAGAACAAGATAACTTGACGAGGAAGATATAGTGCAAGGGCGATTGGGCAATGCAAAGAAAGGAACCTTAACTTCTAGCATTATTGGTCTGAGAAATCGTAGAGATGAAGTGGCAGCTTAACTTATCAACCTCAAGTTAATGAGTTGTCTACTCTTCTTATTACTGTAACCATCTGGAATAAATCAGCATGGATCGATACTTATTCTACTTGTATTATAATTTCTGTACCTCGAGCAAATCTTGCTTTTGAAAATATGGAAAATTTCATCAGGTTGCCTCGATTCCTTTCCATCGAGATAATGTTGTGCGAGGTTCTCCCACACTCGACACGATTCCGTTCGATTCCAATCTTAGTAACGTCATCTCGGCTTCTTAATGCCCATTTTTCTGAGGGGATGCGTCGATGACGAAAAATGGCGCTTATCAATCGCTTGGAGACCAGAATTTCATAGAATAGAGCGCGGCAGAGTGCCAGCCAAGCTTTGGGAGTCTAGAAGACCGAGGATGAAAATTTGAATACTGCTCAGGGGAAGAATTGAATAGTCCATCATATGATCAAATATAGGATGCATGTAGATGAATAAATCATCTACTACGAATACATGGCCAGCGAGCAGTCGACGTTTTACTCACATCTCAGGCTGAAATTGGTTGGCTCAATGGTGCTGGATTCTTTCAATAGTGTGCTCAAGAACTTATTAGATTGTAGTATATGAATGGATTGGTCCCGTTTCATAAATTTAGATTCTTAGCAAGCGTTTCGCTAGCGGGCCATACTTGTGGATGTACCTGGGTAGTGGTGGTCTAATTGGAGACATGAAAGTTCAGATTAAACTCGTTCATTCGGCATTCAGTCGAATGGCGATAGGCTATTCGGAAAAATAAATTCACTTTGTATCCCGAGAATTTACGGCAAATGTACGGCGATCAGCCCGAAGTAGCTGGCAAGTCCTCTTTCGAAGCCGGATAAACGGAAGCCAAGATTTATACTGAAGAGAATTACTTCACTGAACTGCAAATTTTCAACCCAAACAAGGCGGAGAGAAGAGTGGCGAATGCGAAAGACACGTTATATTTGACTTACACATACGATATCGATACTTATGACACATGTGTGATGCTGTAATAAGTACCTCCACGATCTCTTGAACTTTTCTTCCGAACAGAGACTATGGCTTCGATCGCGAGAAAGTCCTTATAACCATCAGTTCTTCAAGGTTCAAACCCATTTCGACATCCATGGAGCATCTCATCTTCATAATAAATTTCAGCTTGACCGCGGCTATTTCACATACATCGAATCCTTATTATTGGAAGTCATAATCATAAACCCCTTTTATAAAGAAAAAGAAAAGTCCCTCTTAATAATTAAAGCCACGGTAGATAGATACTCGACATGGCCGATGAGATTACGCCTGTCGGCGATACACACAGAATGCCAAAATTATATGAATCGGTACTTCCAGACCTTGGTCGTCTACTTCTTAGTCAACACTTGCCATCTGTGGATGGCAAAACTGTCACAGTTGATGAGTTTGCCGCTGCAGTAGAGAAAGCAAAATCACATATTCATAGCAAGAAAGTTTTTCTTCAACTACACATACTTCGACCAGATTATGTGCAATTTCTTGTTGATAGGGAAGCTTGGGAAACATTCTGTAAGTGTTCGATTGATTATCCCGCATCTTCGAGAGAGATAAGACTAACTATCACCAACTACAGGCGGAACTCCAGCCCAGAAAGCCCATCCAAACTACAGACCCTTTCCAAGAAAAGATCCTCGAATTGATAATCCTCTTCCTCAGTATTTTGACCCCAACACTCTTACACCTGATAGTTATGGTCTCATCTATCGCGATAATTTACACCCAGATTGTCCTAACTGCAACTGTGGCATCATTTCCCGAAGTGATTCCGAGAAACAACACATATATGAAGATGGGGGTGTTCGGATGACTACACCTAAAGAAGAATATTTTGCTTATCAGAACGAGCTTGATGAGTTTCGTGAGAGACTTGAAGCTAAGTCTAAGAGACTAGGTTATAAAGACGCTGATGAGCGGTGGGAGAAGGAGTGTGAGATTCAACAGGCTGAGGAAGATGAGAGGATCAGAAATGAGGATGAGCCAAAGGGAAATTCTGATGTAGAGGCAATCAAGATCAATGAGGTGGGTATCGTGGAAAATGCAGAAGAGTCAAAGGAGACAAAGAAAAAGGTTGATCCAGTGACAATTAAGATCGACGAGGAGGAGATCCTAGAGAACGCAGAAGAGGCAAAGGAACCAAAGACAAAGACAAAAGCTACGACAGAAAAGTCGAAGGTAAAGAGTACCAATAAGCTTTGTTCTGGTTGTTTCTGCATGTAGCAACATGGTGGGGATGGTTACAATATGATGGGGCTAAGATATTGCAAGTCTAGCACTACCAGATGGTGGGGTATAGGGTACCACGGCGGCGAGTTTGTTCAAAACATGGTTTTTATTTCTCTTCATTCCAGCTGCTAGATATGAAGATATCAAGTGTTTGATATCCGAATCCAGTAGTACTCACTGAAGATGTTGCGAAAAAATTTCTTATGTCTCGGTTATTTATGAAAGCCTCTGATCTATCAGCTTTGAATGTATGACACTAGTTTGAAGGGTAATTTGAGGATGAGATTTCTCAAAAGAAAATGATGACTCCTCAATCAGAAGCTAGTATTATTTCTTTCACAACTAAAGACTAGCAAGGATGCAGATTGGGGATGTAGCCTCCTATAACTCAACTTAATTCATTTGTAATACTACTTCTCTCTACGCCTTGAAAGTGCTTTGAACATATTCTAGCCCTAGCGTTCTACTATACAAGACTATACCTTGAAGATAGCTAGGTAATGAAATGATACAAGGTAAATTTTGCCTGCAAAGAAACCCCACACAGGCGAAAAGGAGCTAGAAGTGAATAGTCGTAAAGAATATGCCACCGCAGCTGCTTTAAATAAAATAGCAATTACATCATGAGAAAAATCCCTACATGTCTTCCGTCTATGCTGCGGCTCTGAACCCTTAGTTGGCTCAGGCCTCTGAGAAAGTTCATTTCTTATAGCAGTGGAGAAGGATAGACCCTCAGATTTCGGCGAGTGGTGAGGCTGTGCATATGGAGTCAATGAATCATGACGTCATCAATCTCATGCTAATAAATCTTCTTTTGTCAACTGCAGCATTTAATCGGGAAAAGGGTGTCATTCATGAGCCCGGCGTTGGAAACATTTTGACTAACAGCACAAGCGCGTCACGTCGCAAATATAAAATCTCCGCCACTTTCTTCAAAAGCTATTCTGAGTGAGCAGGTGATATAAATCTCTTTACCATGATATCTTATGGTGAGAAGATCGCGCGGTAATCTAATTTTGCCTTTTTGCGCAAAGTTGTGTATCACCATGAATCCACAAATTTCGCAGATGTCACCTCTTCCTCTTATACCATCGCTGAACGAGGAACGACCATGGCACGGAAGGTTGAACAATGATGCAATGTTTGCACCTGAGCTGGAGAAGGAAGACAAATCGAATCAAGTGCTTCCTCACTAATGGAGATATCCCATACATCACCCTCTCTTATGATTAGCGAGAATTGACCCTATAAAGACCTGGTACAGTTATGGATAGCTCATTGCAAACCCCAGACCGCATACGCCCGAGTTTGTTGATTTTTAACATCGAAATGAAAATTAAATGAATGATCGATTGTCTTATCACTTTTCCTGACGTTTCTAAATGCTCAGCACCAAGATCGAGTTAGTCTCGTTTAAAATGATCAATTAGATAGATGTGATACGTCGAATGTGGGGGGGTGTCTTTCATAATCTTAGTCATCCACACCGCAGTATTAAGGTTACAGTAACTTATCGTAATTGTAGCAAGGGAAAACAATACCTGATGCCGTTTCCTTTTTTTTTTGCCTGATGATACACAGGGGATAACTTCATTTCACTCGTGTTTATATCTAATGAATATGAGAACCGGTAAGGAATCACCAACCAAAAACCTCAATTCGCGATGGTATTTCTTGAGGATTCAAGTCTCAAGGGCGGTTCAATATTGAAATATCGGGCGCATTCCAATCGCTCTCAGTGTAAGGGAGAAATTGTGCAAATGCCAATAAGATATCCAGGAGAAATCAATCTGACTACAAGTGGGAATGTAAGAATACATTCCTTCTCAGAACTGCCATGGCAACTTTTACATTTTGGCAGTCTCTGTTTGTTGTTTCTTTTTCGAACTTTCACCATCATTCTTTCATCAAGTTTACTTCACGACATACCCTCTAAGTAAAGTGATATCGCAAGTGCAGATATTATGCCATCATATGAGAAAGTCTTCTTCACAAATATAGTGTCATCCGCATTCATTTAGGTTTAACGACGGAGGGAAGGACGCCAAAAGCATCGAGCTTGGAATTCTGCGATAAACTCAATTGAACATTTTGTACAATTTTACATTTCGAATATGCCTCCTCCGTCTATAGGAGCAGAAGTCCCAATAGGGTCCGGAAGTATACCGTTGGGTGGGATTATTGGCATTGCCATTGGCGGTGCTATCGCATTGACTGTGCTTGGTGTTATAGCAGTCAAATATGTAAAACGAAATCATCGAAATGCAATCAAACTTCGCGGGGATAAAGTTCAAGATGACAAAAATACGAGTTCAGCTGGGCAAGCAAATCTATCGCCGTATTCACTTCCTCTGTTCGCAACTCCTTACCATTACCTTCCGCCCAGGAACGTCCCCGGTCGGCGCGGTACGGCGAAGAATACAAGCTTTGTTGACGACGATGATGAGGAGGAGGATGAAAATGTTGTCAGACCTGGTACGAAGAGATCATCCGGGCCAAAGCACCTCTTTCAGAAACATAGATCTAGTATCAGAGATTCCTGGCCATTGGCATCCAGAATTCAGACGCCCGCAACTTCGCTCCCCCATGCTCAATCAGAGAAAAACATACGAATCAATTGTGTCGCCCCACCAGGCTATGTTCTTCAGGAGCCACAGCGTCCAAAAAGGACGTTTTCGAGGAAGTCTCATGTCAAAAATTCCGATTCTGTCGAGGATATCACAATAGTCAATGGGGAGCCTAGAGTACCCCGTGGTAGGAGTCGATCCAACTCAGAAAACCAGTTATCATCAATTTTGAAATCAACATCTCAACGTCTCAGGGACACCCACAGACAATCTGTGAAGAGAAGTTGGAGCAATCTAGGAAGATTTCCAGGATCACCCCCCAAGCAAAGACTACCTAGTCCACCGTTGAACAAAGCCACAGAAAGCAGAGAAGTTCTTCTTGCACCTGAATGCTCTACATCAGACATTAGTTCTTATAAAGAGATGCAATCACCACGAACTCCAAGTCCTGGAAAGAGAGTTCCACGAGCGGCTGGTAAAGCATTCAAGAATCGAGGGCGATCACCGACACCATCCGGAGATTCAGACGACAGCCTTTGTGGCGTTGATACACCTGATCTTGTTATTCCGGCGCAGCTCACGTCACCAAGCAAAAGTGGACGAAAATTCGAACAGCGCCATCAAATGAATCTTTCTCCTACCAAGGGCTCTAATGGAGAAGTAAAGACAAACCAAGTCTCTAAAACATCACTCACAAATGATCCGTTCTTCTCCTCGGTTAAAAGGTCGAAAGTTATCCCTTCTACCACAATTTATGAGCCACAACCTCGCTCTATGAGAAAGGCTACTTTCGGCCAGGAAGAGATACGAGAGCAAGTAATAAATCATGGTGACCTGCCATTAAAGGATATTTCAGGAAATCAAAAAGGTCCACTGGTCAAGGAACCTCGATCCACTCCAACGTCAACTGAGCTCAACCCGTTCCAGTGGTCACCGAAAGAAGCTATGCAAACTCGACCCATTATAGCAAGCCCTAATAAGATCTTATCGAAGAGAAAGGGACATAAACGTTCGAATGTGATACGAATGTCTGGTTTATCTAGACCAACCAGTGTTAGTGTGGTTCATGAAGAGTCGGAAGGGGACTCTCCCGGGATGACAATGATGATATCTCGACCAACTCTCCGTGTAGTTGAGCCAAGTCCTTCATGTGCCTCAATCGCCAGCCAACGGTCCAGTGCTATGCCTCGGCCCCCGTCAGCTTCTACCTTCAATCCCAGCATCTCTATACCCTCTTTGAAGCCAGGCTCACGACATGTGTCATTGAGTCGTGAAAGGTCCGCGACACCACCTTCTTTGAAGATTAGCCCGGCTTTCGATATTCCACAACTCAAACCAGTAGAAAAACATAAACCCCCCGAGCGGGAAGTATACACCCCTACCCCACCACCTTCAAAAGTCAACTCGATTCTCAGCGCTCCTTCATTCAAGCCAATAGAACGACATATATCTGGGTCGTCAAATCCCGATGAATACTCCCCAACATTATCAGTTTGTAATTATTATGCCGAGAACTTGATTTCTGAAGTTGAGTTCTTTAAACATGCCCGATCATCACTTGCTATGAAGTCCCAAGTCCGTCGTCATATACAGAACATTGATGAAGAAATTATAAGCCCTGATACCCCAACGGATACTTTGGTTTCATTTCCGGCACTGCATCCGCCAGAACCAATCATTGAAGAAAATAGAACTCATCATCCCGATGTTCTGGAATCGTGGAGGACGGAATGTCCGCCATCACTAGCCAGCAATCCGTCGAGTTTTTCCCGAACACCAAATTCGACCATCTCAAACTCAAGAGCACCAAGCCCTAAGCGAGTGTCTTTCAATGAAATTCCAAATAATATACCACCCAACTCTGCACGATTTTCTCAGTCCTCAACTAACACCTCTAACAATGCGTTGGTTCTCGGTCCTAGACCCTTCTCGCGCGCAAACCCTCCGTCTCCATTGACTATTCCGTCCACATCCTTACCCGCACCGCCAATTCTCAGCCCACCTTTACCAATTCCTGTTCATCTTACCGGGCCCCGACCAGAAACTCACAAATCTGGGTCATTTAGCACTGCCATGACCACTCTTGCATCAAACACCCCCAACTCTACTCGTGAGTCAATTGCTACAAGCATTGGTCTCCTACGTCGAATGAACTCTGAGATTTCTTGTATCAGTGCCGGGGATACTGACTCTTCTCCGATGGTGCCTGGAATTGGTCTTGACTGGAGTGAGCGACATCGTACAAGCCGTTCATCTCGATTTTATCTCTCAATCGGCTCACCCATCGATGGAGCAGCCGTTCCAAGTTACCGCTCCTCTCTCAGTATGCTCTATCCAAATTCTTATTCTGCATATTCCAACTCGTATTTTCCTCAAGGAAATGATTCAAGTACTAGCGTCAACAGTATTGGTGAGAGGCGCCAGTCGAGGAGTGACTTGATGAATCCCAACTACGGAAATCTGCAAGAGATACTTGAGGATATCAATGCGAGTCGTGAGGGAAGCAGAGGTGCAAGCACCAGAGGCAGTAGTCCAATAGCAATGGGGAGACATGGATTAAACGTCAAGGAGAAGAAATTATCCTTGACGAATCTGACTATCCTCCCTGATGGGGAGGGAATTGGTTACATGATGGACTACAACGATAAGATGAATGAATTGTTATTGAACCCCCTTGTCTTATCGAAAACCAGACAAATATAGAGAAGAGTGAAAGTACCAAAGATACCAAAGATACACGCTGGTCCGATGCAATGATCAAGCCTCTCACGAAACTACTCGTAGGGGAAAGCAGATGGACATCCCAGCCCCAACAACCACCACCAAAGTGGGGGTGGAGTCAAGCGGTAAATGTGGCAAAAGAAAGATTTGAGTAGGAGTCCAACCGGGATAAGGAGAACGTTGTAGATAAGCGATTGGGCTGAGGAAGAAGAGATAGGTCCCGAGAGTCTTGGCTGTACGATCAAGAGGATTCTTGAGAACTTCACCGGCAACGAACGACTGTAGATGCGATTCAGAGTGAGGATAGTAGGGGAAGAGTAAGGCGAGCGACCGTTAATGCGTTTGCTGGGGATTTAATGGAGCAGAAGAGGAGAGAGAGGTTATCTGCGCATATAGTTACGTCATAAGATTTGGATATGGAGAGTTTATGGAATGCAGACGTACAGTTTGAGGGGACCACTGGTGGACGGAGGGGGTGAGAAAGAAGGAAAGATGTTCGTCTCCTTCATCGTGGGGTTTTCGTAATATATAGGATTATAGTTGATCTTTTACATCTAGCATCGAGACGGTCTCTATATCATGACGTCAATAATTTATTTAATATTCCAATATTAGTTTTCTTTGTTATCAAACTAGTTCATACGTTTAGTCATTAATTTATACTACGCGACTAGTGGGAAACTATGAAAAATCAAATTCCTCAAAAATACTTGAAACTTCTCTATACAACCACTATTCAATTTCAGAAAACCGATCGCCGAGTCTCCAAGAATCACAAACAAGATGCACTATCCGCATTTGTATCATTATCACCTGCACCTCAGCCTAAACTCTCCTTTCCCATTTCCTTCTCCAACACCTCAGTTACACCTTCATCACCATGAATAACGACTTCCGATTTCTTCAATGAATACTTAACTGGTTTTGCAGCGTTGAAAATTTCGGTTAATTCTTCGAGCTATGATTTTACGACTGTCAGTCAAAGCCCAGAGTTCATAGTGCTGAATTGGATAGATTGGGTTGGTAAATGAGATGGAAAGAGAGCTGAATGATGGTGCTTACCGTTCTGCCTTTAGTTTCTACGAAGAAGAACTATGGGGTATTAGTTGGTACGTTCTGTTGTGTGGAAACAGGGAGGAATTTGAAAGGTCAGGGCGGGGGATCTTACGTATATGAAAGCTACTTCGAGTAGATCCCAGAATATGAACCTGAACAATAATCAGCAAGTTTTTAGACTTCGAACCCTAACTCTTCAAATCATTATCAGAAACAACTCACAGATAATAATACCTCCACCCCGCCCCACTAAACGCAATCCCCGTCACAAAGTATTGTAAACCCCGCTACATTTCCCACCAGAGTATAAACCGCCCTTCCCTTTGCTCGACTCTCATACCTCAGCACCTCCACCGCAATAAAGACCCCTGCATCGGCGTCCAACCGACTGCAAACACAAATGAGAAGAGGAAAATCATGGCGATTTCAGCGTTAGATGCTGCTACTGATTTTGCGACTGTGAGGTGAGTTCCAGGATCGGTGGTTGTGTTTAAGGCGTTGAGGATTAGAATAATGAGGAAGAGAAGAGAGATGAGCGAGGTGGAAATGAGAAGCTGAGGGCGTCGGCCCCAGTGATCAGTGTAGGCTGCTCCTATGAGAGCACCGATGAAGGAGAGGACTGATTGCATGCCTTGCTGATTTGGATGAGTTGTGGAGTTGACTGAGGGATATTTGAGTGGAATGCTTACGAGAAGTAATTGGGTGTGATTATTTTTTATTCCTGCACCTGCTAGCATTTGTGGGTAGTAGTAACTGACGGGAACCTACTCAAACATCAACCCTGAAATCCCACGCTACGATTCATTCTTATAAAACTAAAAATGAAAAAGTAAAAATGACACATACCGTTACCAGTCCACTGACCAAACAGAGCAATAGCACAAGTCAGCATAGTACGATATCGAACTTCCCTCGTATCAAACAATTCTCTGAAATCCCACCATCGTTTATCAGCACCCGTTTTGGAGATCTCTTCCATCATCTCGCGGAGTTCGAGTTGCACTAAAGGAGAACTGCGATTGCCTTCACCGTGATATTTTGCCATAATGTCGAGTGCTTCTTCATGTCGATCATTTGCTACCAGCCATCTTGGACTCTGTGTCTCATTAGCATTTGTCTTTCTCATCCCCCGAGCTTTGAATTCTCAAAGAAATAAAAGAACGTACCTCTGGCAGAAACAGTACCAAGATGAAGACAATCCCCGAAAAATTCATTTGCAACCATAAAGGGATTCTCCAAGCTTGAGATCCATGGATGTAGCTCGTAGCATATGGTACTAACAACTTCAGCACTTGTTCAAGGAAAAAGGACCGGAGAATACACTAACTGAATGTCCCAGGTATAGCTCCCACGAAATAAAACGTCGTATAAACACCCGTCATCGCGCCTCGAAAAGATGGATGCGCCATTTCGCTTACACTATACACTGTGAGACTTGTCTGTTCCCCTTTCCTTCCGCTCCAAATATTCAGTGTGCACCTACTAGGGTAACGCAGAACTGGGGCCCATTGCCGCGCCGACACCTTGGGAAATTAGCGTCCTGAAAGTTTGAATGCCACACAAGTACTACCAGATACGTACCGAGCATAAATCTTCCAATCATAAAGGCTCCCAAGTTCTGACTGGTAGCTTGCACAATTGCTCCCACGATAATAACACCCGCGCCCAAGAACATACCCCATCGTCTTCCCTTCCACTAACGCGTTCATTTCTATTAGCATCCTTCTTCCAAATCCTTTTCCCACTCTCTCATGCTCTAGCTTTTCACTCCCCTTTTCTCCCACTATTCCCCAAAAAGAAACAACCTACATCAGCAGCCGGCCCCGCAAACCCCGCCCCAACCAAATTCCCAATCGTAAACATCGCATAAACAATTCCCGTCGCCGGTGTTCCCTTCGTAAGATCAAATCCAAAATAACTCCTATACTGCGCATACGAATTAATCGAGCTCATCACACTTCCATCATATCCATTAACTGCCGCGTTTAGCGTGGCCAGAAAAAGGATCACGTAGAGCTGACCCATTCTCCATGTCCACAGGCTGGGTTTTTGTTTAGCTGTCGCATCTGCTAGGGCGATATTTTGTACTGTTCTTATTGTGGTGGATGGTTCTTCGCGTTCATGATGATGTTGTTGTTCGCCACGAGCAGATGTATCTGTGTTCGGTGAAGCTTTCCATGCATCTAATTCGGTGTTTTTGGATACTGATTTCGCCATCTTGGAATGTTTTTTTATGAAGTATGATCGTATCTATGCAAAGATATCGAAGTTGATCACAAAAGCGTTGCGAGAGTAATTTTTATTGAAGCCATTCATTTGTTGTTCTAACTGACATGGAACAAAGAAATCGTATTCACTATTTATCACGAATGTACCGAAGCAAAAGATTGCATGCAGGAAAAGGTTTATATATTTTTCGATCTTATCATGGAATAGTACATAACATACCTAGGCACAGAAAAGTAAAATCCCGAAGTCTAAATCGGCACTCTTTCCCCATCCAGCGCAAACTACTTGGTCAAGAAACGCACGTTGACCGGTAATGACATGCACTGCAACGCAAACTTTACAATCATTGGTTTGAAAAGTCATAAATCGAGGGGTACAACGACGATCACTAACCTTACCCCACTTTCAACGTACGTTCATTAGGTAGATTCATGTAAAGCGATAGGAATAGATAGACATGAATGTAACGTTTCTACTTATCTGAAAGAGCTACCTACTTACTGTTGTCGTTGTGGTCTGGATCATGGTGGCGATCGTTATACCATGTGATCACGAAGGGCAGGATTATGGTCGTGCAGATTGTAGTCATAAAACAATAAATGTGATCTTTGAGGATGTAATATTTTAATTTTTTTTTAATGATACATATGTATGAGTTTTGTATACCTCTAGTCCCGACTACGATTGGGTGACCAACGTTTGAGGACAACTTCCCTCACTTTGTATTTCCCAAGTAATTCATCAACGCTATTCGCCTTAATGTTTCCATCGACAGGTGCGGGTATATCCACGTAAACCAAAATCAAAGTCTTCTTAACCTGTGTAATGACTCGATTGATGCAATGCATCCATGGCCAGCTTCTCTCCTGTTTGCCTTTCACATAATTCTGCAAGAATGGACCACTGGACCAGTAAGGATCACTGTATGATGGGAGGATCAGAACAGCGAATTCAGCATGACTAAAAACTGGACCACGATTATAAAGTAGATAATCAACCGAGAATTTTGTTCCACCACGCACGACCCAGCCCAAAGAACGGAAATGATGATAAACAACGTAATTCACGAGGAATGGATCATCCGTTGATAGACTCGGGTTTGAAGTTGGTGGGAAGTAAGACGATTTTCTGAATAATGAAAACAAATCTTGATTTGAAAGTGCGAATTTGGTGACGGGATCAAGAACAGTCAGTGCTCCTAATCCGTATGAGAGAAAGAACGCCTCTTCCATGGTTAATTGAAAGTGTTCTTGATCTTCAATCACCATATTCTCATCCATAACCAGTTCAGAGATCGTCTCTGGCTTCTCTTCGGTACTAGTCACAGCACGCTCAGGACTTGGTGGTTGCGATGGCAAGAAGGTGGTTTGTTCTACGGTTGGGGAAAATTGAACACTCTTCTGGCGGTCTGATACAGATGTAGATGAACTATTCTCAGGTACATCGCCATCAGATGCGCTGTTCTGAACAGAAACAGTGGAGGCTGGTGTCAGCGGAGCATCAATTACATTGACTTCAACGCTAGTGGCGATGGGCGTTGAACTGTCAAGGGGTATAACTTTTTCTTGTGTTGTAATTGGACTGCCATCAACCCCAATATATGTTGAGCGACTAAGGTGTTCTTTCGAGGTCTCATCTTCGATGCCAGGATTTAATTCATCAAAGGTTGCGGAAGCATCAGTTGTGGAGTTTGGGAGAGCTAGCAATTCCCGAGGACCCACCGGAGCTGAAGGTACATTAGACTTAGATACTTGTTTTTCCACAATCGTGGTAATCGTTGGTGAGAACAACAAATTCGTATTGTCTTGACGTCTCAAAAGATTAAGTTCTACGAGAGAGTTTGGCAGTGCAAGAATGCTCACGGGTCCGGTAGGTGCGATGAATGACGCGATATTTGAAGACGCAACCTCATCGGCATTCACTGCACTCGAGACAATGGCTCTTTGGCGGCTGAGTCTTACGACCTCAATAGATGAGTTGGGTAGGGCAAGCAGCTGCATTGGTCCAGTGGGCGCCTCCGGTAATGTGATGCTAGTCAACACTAACATCATCTTTGTTATCTGAGCAATGCGGAAAAGATATTTCGGCAATTGCTACTTTCGGATTTGACTCAGCAGAAGCGGGGAGATTGTCAACTTCGACTACAATGTCCTCTTCAGATGGAACAACAATGTTGGATTGGGATAATTCCTTTGCCTGTGCTTCTGCTAATAAAGTTTGATCAATAGCTTCTCTTTCTTTTCTCGCCCGCTCCCACTTGGTTTGTTGACGATCGGCACGACGTTTTCTTGTGACATCCTCGCTTGCAATCGCCTTTGAAACGCCCCGTCGCTTTTTCTCTCGCGTCAGCCAACTCGGTTCACTGCGACTCAGACTTCCCTTCCCATAGAAACCTTGCTCCCAGAGACCTCTTATAGACCGAAAGTCTGTTATATGAACGGATCGCGTTTCAGGTGAGAACCATCCTTGATAAAGGGTATCAAAATGTGACGAAGGACGATTGATTGTCTGTGACAACCAAACATAAAGAATATGGAAAAGTGAAAGTGGATTGTGGGGTATGAGAGTAGGAAGAGGAAATGTTCGAATGGGAGCAGGAAGCCCGTAAAGTTTGTTCAATTGCTGGAACTTAGAGGGCGGTCTAGGTCCAACATGTTTTGGTTTTGTGGGAGTTGTGGCCTCAATCGGAGCAACAGCCGGAGTCACTACATTTGTGTCTGCCATGATAGAAAGATGAGGCTATCGTGAGGTCATTGCGATTTCCTATTATGAATCAATGGTTAGTGACCGCTGGGTAAAATGTTTGCGCCAATTGAATCAAGTATATATAAATGTTTGCAATGCTCAGATACCGTTGTAGTCTTCTCCGAAGAGAATTGAGCGTACAGAGAGGACGAACAAAGTCAGAGCCGTCACTCTAAGCATCGAATTGAGTCATCACCGCATTGCATGACAGTCAAATTGAATTGAGCTGTCTAGATGGTATATTCCGGACCAAAAAAAGAAGAACGAACGGATAGACAACTTACAAATTACCAAAACTCTTCTCCTTCTGGTGGGAGAAGATGTTGTGGTCGATGAAATTCTTGAAAAATGGTTGTGGTGATGTTGTTGAAGAAATAAAAAATAATTTTTTCAATGTGGAAGAAATTTCGAGTTTTTGAAGTCGGCACTAAATCTTTGATCGGTAAGTGCCGCTTGATCCAAGCTCCTGCTCTCGAGCTGCTCTACTCTATTCACTCCACGCATACGTATCCGATACATAAACGCATAATTGAATATTACGTAATCTTCACGATTCAATCAATATCTGTCGGTACGAGCGCGAAGAAAGCATGGAACAGTTTTATTTTTGGCTTGAGACTCGATTTCCATGTCTTTCCATATAAACCCATAATACCGACCTGACTAGAGTGGAACCATAAGTACTCATTCTTATTCGTACTGTCATCGATGGAATTGGGCGGAGGAATTCATTCTACCCTCGAAAGCTCTTGCCGTTGAATCCAGTTCTGGTAACTGTCCCGCGTCTTGAAATGGAAAAGGAAACTTTGATATACATCATAGCCTTGGCATGTTGGACTTGGTATTTCTTCATTCTACTCGTACAAGCGATAGGCTCTACTCAATTGTAAGATTTCCACTTCATACTGCTGTAGCCTCATCGTAATCTAACATATCTTTTCTTGAAGGTTTCGTTACTACTCTTCCGTTCCCAAGCCTGCCATCTCTCCAAATTTAGACAGCGATGACATTCCCCATATCACGATTTTACGACCAGTGAAAGGGCTAGAGCCGCAATTATACGAATGCCTCGCGGCCACATTCAGACAGACATACCCTACAAATAAGTTAACAATATACTTTTGTGTTGGGTCATCCACAGATCCTGCATTCCCAGTTCTTCAACGTCTGCTGGCAGACTTTCCCGAATTTGATGCCAAAGTTTTCATTGAAGAAGAAGATCCCAACCTGAGCGGCCATGGAGGAGAAATTGGCAACCTTGGACCCAATCCCAAGATTCGGAACATGAGTCGCGGATACAGAGAGGCAAAGGGAGACATTGTGTGGATCCTCGATTGTAATGTCTGGGTTGGAACCGGTACTGCTGGACGAATGGTCGACAAGCTCTGTGGATTGAGGGCAGATGGCACAAGGATCACACCATATAAATTTGTCCACTTGTTACCATTGGTTGTAGATACAGTTGGAACCAGCACAGGTGGGGAGACTGAACAACTTCTCACAGCCGGGCAACAAATTACGTCTACAAATTCAATGGCCTCTAATATTACAAATGTTCCGAAGAACGAGTCTAATTTCGATGCAGGCGCAAGAATTGGTGGTGGACGTTTTGAAGAATCCTTTATGGCGTCTTCGCACGCTAAGTTCTACACTGCAATCAATACGGTGTCAGTTGCGCCATGCATTGTTGGCAAGTCGAATATGTTCAGGCGGTCTCATCTAAACTACCTCACCTCATCTTCTCCTGATTATTCTCCAGGATAGACTTTTCTCGGGAAATATTTGCGAAGATCATCTAATTGGAGACTTGTTATGGCGAAAGCAGGTACCGGAAGAGGAGGCTGGAGAAAGGTGGCACAAACATGGTTTGGTTCCTGGTGACTTGGCTATACAACCAATGGCTGGTATGTCAGTTCGAGAATACATCGCACGCCGAGTACGTTGGCTCAGAGTTCGAAAATGGACCGTTACACTGGCCACATTTGTTGAGCCTGGTGTTGAACCCCTTTTATGCTCAGCCTATGGCTCTTTCGCAATCACAACACTACCTTGGTTTCATGAAAACTTAAGTGTACCTCAGACATGGCTTGCTTTTGCCTTGGTTTGGTTATCAAATGTTGCCGCGTGGATGACCCTTGATTGGTTCGTCTATGCTCACCTTCATTCTGGTGCATCTATTGAGCTGGATGCAAATACGCCTTCCTTTGCACGACCTCCACAGACGAGATGCAGAAGACCCTTTAAAGAATGGGCATCTGCATGGCTCGGCAGAGAAATCCTTGCCTTACCTATTTGGACATGGGCATGTCTTGGTGGAACGACAGTAATGTGGAGAGGAAAAAAGTTCCGCGTCAATCTTGACATGAAAGTCATCGAGATCAAGGGCGAGAAGAAATCATCCACCCCTGAAATCGAAAATGGACGAGCGCACAGTAAAGATAGACAAGATTGATTGTCCTTGTATAACAGTCAAATACTACCCAATAATATATCATAATTACGATGTTGTACTGCATTTATATCTTGGCTTCGCCTACAACTCGTAAATCACCAATCATATCCAGTGACATCTCTTTACATATGTCGGTACAAGTGCGAATCCGGGGCCCCTCAATCTACAGAATAGGACCGATCGGAGACAGTGACAATTTTCCATAAAAATAATCCCTCGAATCATCGCGAGATTGTAACCTATTTTTCTGTAGGTAGGGCTTCACGAGCCATCACCAGCCTTATCGTACATGCTATATTATTCATTCTTCATAGTTCCTTCATTCGGTTTGTGTGGGCACTACTATGTTGCTTTCCAAAACCCTGCATATGCTTTCTCTCCAGTCTTGCGAGTCATCTAATCTCCCACTTTTTTGTTCCTCTTTATTGCTTGCACTAAACAATAGTATAGCACATTGGCGCATCTTTTCCCTTTCTCCTTGCACCATCACTTTATCATGACATATTCAGGTGCGCGACACAGCGGAAACCCCATCTCGTCCCAGAGTTCAGTGAAGCGTCAAGCAGCACCACATATCCCCATTCCTAACCAGGTTTAGCTCTTGGCCCCCGTAAGATATCGTCATGTATCTCGCCTACGACTTACATCTACGATATAATTCCGAGCTTGTCAGATTTAGCAGTCGCTAAAATAATAGCAGAAAAGAGTCTGAAACTAGAACTAAGGTGAATGTTGTGCCGCGATGCTAATCTGCATATTGTTTTCGATCAACTGAGAGCTGTAGCTGCTGTACATGCATACCATGCGTCTGCAAGGTGGTATTACGACTTTGAGTGCGACGAGGCTTTTATTATTGGATGAAGATTCGTGGGAAGAAGATGGGAGTGGAGAGTTTCAAGTCGGTGAGGGGATTGGAAATTGGGATTAGAAAGCGAAGTATACTGGTAGGGAGAATCTGGCAATACAATCAGACAGTGAAAAGATATTTTGGGAAGATATCAAAGTCGAAGGAGGAAATAAAAGAAGTAAAAGAGCAAGTTCCGGAACGTTGAAGTGATTTTGAGAGAAATACTCTCGGTCTTTTTACCAGAGAGGATGGGCTTAACGGTGTGTGGAACTTCTCACTTCCCTATCTTCCCTTCGCCGGTATGAACATAACTAATTGTATAGCTGCAGACGAGAGGAGTTACAAATGCAACTACAACGTCCCAAGCCGCGAACTCCCTCGTTTCGTGCCGCCGATCAGAGTCAGATTTGTCGAGAGCGAGATTGACGTTGGTCTTGTGCAGTCGGTGCTTGATATAGAGATTGAGGAAGACTCGGGGGCATATACTTTAGTGGGAATTTGTGAGGATATGGATATGGATATGACGGAAGTGGAAGAGGTGGAAGAGAGAAAGGGAATTGGGGAGGGTGTTGAGGTGTGTTTATTTCTTTGCTCTACTAGTGGGCTTGAGGATGGAGCTTATGAGAATTTAGGCTCGAGGTGCGGATGTGAAGGAGATTCAGGAATTGAAGGCGGTGAAGGGGGTGAAGGATGAGGTATGTGCATGTCATAATTTGTATGAATTATAAGGGAACTGAGCAGACCATAGTAAACAAGGAGTCAAACGCTCGCAAAGAGTGTGAAGGGAAGCATGATACGAGAAGACGTTGATTTTTCTGAAGGAATATGGGTATCAGTACGGCTTATGAATTTGTAAGTTTAGGTGCTGTCTATTTTCTAGTACATACATCATCAATTTTCAATCAGTTCCCGCAATCAATGTTCTAATTGTCTCAAGGCTTTCGTTACTATATACTATATACTATATATTCTTTGAGATGATATTTCCCTTTCACGAGCTGTCAAATTGCAAATGTAGGAATCTACATCCTTTTGTGTTTCCCACACGGAAAGCAGGAAAATACAAAGATGCCTTCAATGGTAAGAGGGAGTGCAGTGTGGTCATCAAATTCTCTAGCTTCGGATTTTGTATTGGCTGTGGTACATACGGATGTTGGAAGCTCTCCATCAATATGACATTGAATCCACTTTATTTAGACGGGATTTGGAGCAACTGCGATAATTGATGTCAAAATGAGTGTCTGGCATGTGCAAGGTATATCAAGCTACGAATAGGCAGGCGAAAATTATTTCATGGAATCTATCCAAGTCATGACGGATGTGTAAATGAAAGTCTGATCTTGGTTTTCTTCGGGGTATGATTCCCCTTTTTTATGGCGAACAGTCATCGCGTAACTCGACACATTTCTTTTCACGCTTCTGTCTCTAAATGAGTGCTATCTGGTCACTCTTAACGGCGATATGATACTAGATATATTGAGAATATACTAAATTGATTCCATCTAGATTCCAAAGATCAAAATTATGTATCTTTGATTACATAACAGTCAAATGATATCAATTTACCTGTTCTTTCCCAGCTGTCAAAATATATTCATAATCCCAGATAGCGAAGTAGAAAATCCGTCATCGAGAAATCATCCCTCGTACTGTATAATCTCAAATTTGCGGATTCTACCAGCCCTACTTCTAGTCAATCACTTGGCTTCACTAGGTAGCTAGCTAGAATTTTCAGTTACTCTTCATACAGAGTTGGTGCAACAAGCTTTTCAAGAGTTAGTAGTTTAACCTCTTATCAGATCTTCATTATTATTGTGACAGAGGAAGGAGTTAGTCTCAATAGGGGTATAATGTATCGTAAGATTGGTTTTCAAGCCCTTAGGGATATGGTTGGCATAACATAATGGTAGCCAATTGCATTGTGATTAAATTATTTTTCTGTGACTAGATATCATTCAAGAAACATCAAACTAGTATTAATCCAAACAATCTCAAACTGTATCTTAATTTCACCTATCAAACAAGTAAATTCCAAGCGAATTCTCCTCTTCTATCATGGTAAATCTAGTTTCTTGTCCGCACTGGACATAATATACTCAGCACAGCACATGCATCCCCCAGAAAAAGACAACCTTGGTCTCTCCTTCTCTTCCTCTTCTTCTTCATCCCTCCTTCTCCCTCTCCCCAAGAAAATCCATAATCCACACTCCACACTCCACACTCTCCAATCACAGCACCCAATACGCAGAACTCCCATTTATATAATATTTTCTTTCAGATACATTGCTTACTATTCCAAAAATGCAATGGAATAAGTATAACAGTATCATGTAGTCGAGCGTCATTCTCTTTCGCAGGATTTCGAGACTCTTTTATATCAAGATTTGAATGGCTTGTGAGTATCTAGAGACTTTGTATAGGGGCAAAGTAATGATGATTATTGTTTTAATATATGTAAAGAAGTTCTCCCACAAGTACGGATGTAGATAATTGTGTACGATAATATCTCTTTAATGAATTAGAAAATAAGTATTACTTATCAACTCCACGCTATCTATGAAAACACTTCAATTTTTAGGATATTATGAAACATTTCAAGTGCCGAAGGATTTAATTGGATAGATCTTTCATTCATGAGTACCCAAACGCCAGCCATGTCATATTAAGACACTTTCCTCCTAAACTCCCCAGCATAATATAATGCTCCATCGACTTTTCCTCCCATATTTTTTCATAATATCGTAGTCCTCCATCTTCTCCATCTACCACTTCTTAGCCTCAACGCCCTCGGGAGGTTGAATCTTGACAGGAGCTTTCTTAACATCCGACCAATTAGTACTCAGAGCAGTGCCATTACTTTCTTGGAAACTCTTCATCATAGCTCTCTTAGTATCTGGATCCGCATCTTTATAAAGCTTTTTGAAGAAAGAATCCATGGGATCACCACCTTCCCCATCACTATCTCCGCCTGTATCCTTTGCTCCTTCTTTCTTTTCGGATTTAAGAGCAGATGAGGCGAGGGCATCCCAATCCTTTGGACCATTGCGAGAGGACGTTGGGTAAGAGGGAGCCTTTTCGGTGGAGGGATTTAAGACTGCAGCGGGGATTTCGGACTTCTTTTCTTCCGTGGATGCAGTGATGATAGGCTCACTTCCTTCTAGTTTAGACCACTTAAGGCCTTGCTTTGTCTTATATAATTCAATCTCGATTTTGAAAGGAGTGATGTTGAACTTGCTCTGCGAGGGATCGATTTGAGCGAAAAGTGGTGAAGCAGTGAAATCGTATGTGTTGCCAGTTTGTCCGACTGGGAATGAAACTTCAACCTATGACATGTTAGTTGCTGTAAATTTGGAAGCTCGTAGATAATCTCATACCTGTCCTTCTTCGATATTAATTTGTGCAGTATCTTTTGCGACGCCCTTAGCATAAATAGTGATTGTGACCTTCGAGTTGGATTGAATCCACCTGCAGAATCTATTAGTTCCTCATTTTATAACTTCGAAAGCAGATGTCCGTACTCTTGTCTAATATTTTCCTTTGCAGTTACTGCAGGAGCGGATGACGGAGCATTCGAGGAACCCTCCACACCTTTGCCCTTAGAATCTTTTACTTGCGGCTTGACAGCAGCCTGCTTATTAGGAACTTCCTTCACAGTGCACTTGTTACATTCCGCGTCCTCACCACCTGCGTTATCGTAATCCATCTTGACCTTTGCTTGCCACATAGTCAAAGCCTTTTCTTTCGGATTTTTTTGCATGCACCAAGCCAGACATAATCTTGCATCTCCATATCTGCCTAGACCATGCAGAGCAACTGCGCGACGAAAGTGAGCGGTACCGATGAGTTCGCGTCGAGAACGAGCGATAGCTGCATGGACGGCGGCATCGGCATCTGCGAGTGCCGCTTCGTAATTCTTAGCACGTTGGTGCGCTATAGATCTGGAAATGAGGTAGTTTGGAGAAGTAGGACTTTCGGCGATGGCTTTGGTTAAGTATTCGATGGCCGCGGGGTAATCTTTCTTGTCGATGGCGGCAGCGCCGAGAGCTGCTTGGGTTGACATGATGTGTTTGTGTATTTGATAATATTTGAGATTATGAGTTTATTTTGATTTGTCGTGGAATTATTTAATCTGGATGTTCGAGAATGATGAGAAAACTTTTGGAGAAGAAACGGGGGAGATGAATTCATTTATAGATTTGATCTGTTGGTAATTGATTGAACTGGAAAGTTCGATAGTTCAATCTGCAGCCTCGTCGGTAGCCTGTAGTGCGGCGCTATGTGGAGCATACAAGCCACCCAACTGGACCAATTGAAGAATGGTAAATATTCACATTGGCGGGGTATGATTTAGTACCGAAGCTAGATCGGAGCTTGGTCGTCTAGCGTTAAGGTTATCTAGGTAGGTATTATTACATATAGCTAGTTTCTATCGACCTATATGTGAGTATTCACTAAAAGATATATCACCTACCTCGTCAAGTATGATGTAAGTAAGTCCACGGGTATTTAGGTGTTATTACAATAGCTATTATCTAGTCATTATGCCACTCCAAAACCTGAATTAGATCGTCTCCCCCCCCCTCCGTCATTACAAAAGTTTGACATCTCCATATTTCTTGGCGAATAATCCCAATGCTTTCATTGGAAAGATGAATTTATAATTAGGATATGAGATCATGCAACTCTTATTGAAAACACCCTCAATGGCCTCTTGGAGCCATTCTCCATTAGCTTGTTGCCGGCTCATGATAAGCTTCAATCCCCTTTCGATTGGTGCACGATCTGGGTAGTTGGCCTCAATCAAAGCGATACATGCCCAAGCTGTCTGTACAACTTGAGAACCAGATGGATGCTCAATATATTCTGCTTGCTCACAGGACTGAAGAGATGTTAGAACTATTTGTAATCATAAGTGAGAGGCTACATACCTTATAGCTTTCCGACCATCCACCATCACTTCTTTGCTTGGAAATGAAAAAGTCACATCCTTTTCTGACATGCTCGCTATTCTCGTAGGTTTCTCCAATACTTGCAAGACTTTCCAGAGCAAACATTCCAGCATATGTGAAACAAATACCCCAACTGCCATACCAGCTACCATTGGCATATTGTGCTCTTCGAATATATTCAATAGCTCTACCCTTGAAAGCTTTGATTTCGGATGCGCGATAATCCGGATAGTATTTTGAGAACAATGATAATGCTGTGACTACAGCGGTTGTGCACTCGGGGTAATCGTATTCGATCATGATTCTACCGAATACCTCAGCTGCATTTAACATTTCCAAGGCTTCTGAACCTCGAGTTGGCTCATAAGATGCACAGCCACCGGATTTATTCTGGTATGTGAGAAGAGTATCAACGGCATCAAAAATTCGTTGGTCTTCCAGCAAAGTTGGATAACCAGGCGTTCGTTGTAGAAGTAAAACGGCTTTCAAAGCTTCGGAGATGCAGTCACTGACAGCATATCCTTGATCTTTGTTACTGAAGCCCCATGCTCCTTTTCGTTGTTGACGATAGCAAATATCTTGATCGTCGACATTCTCTCGAATTTGTTGATCCTCAAGGAACTCGAGCGCTTTAGTCAACATAGGTCTCCATCTTGGATCTTCAGCCAAACCAGCATCCATCACGGCTTGAATTAAAAATGCCGTATCCCAGCATTGTACTCCATTTGTTCCATTCATCAGCATACCTTCGTCCTTGACCCACATAAAGTCAGCCATTCGTTCTCGATGTCGTTGTACCGAATACGCATTAGGACCCTCTCGAATATAGCACGCAAGGAAGTTCATGGGTCCATTAACAGGCCCGAGATTGGAAAAATCGGTATTCTTATCTTCCATTTGAATCAGTTTGAATACCCAATCTTCGGCTTGCTTTGCCAAAGCATCAGTCCGGAGATATGGGTTGTAGATATTGACGAGAAACCAATTTGCTGTGTTTAGGAGCCATGATTTGGGATGATAATTGTCTCCCGGATGAATGCTGTTTCGGTTTCCTGCCCAATCGATAGCTGTATATGGTTCGACAAAAAGCTCTTGTCGTAACTGCTCAACAATGGGTGTCGTTTTATATGCAAACTTCTTCGACCAGATGAATGACATGGGTGCATAAACTTGGCGCATGTGAATCCACCATCTCCAAGGATGGAAAGGTACCCAGTTAGGTAACAACCAAAACTCTGGCGGCACGGGATTGACTATATCCCATTGACAAACACCGAGTACGCTCAGCCAAAACTTAGCCCAATGCGGTCCATTCTTAGCACCACCAAGCTTGTGTAATGTTCCTCTAGCCTTAACCATTCGTTCGTCCTCTTCGCTGACTCCGACTAAACGGAGAACAGTATAGTTCATGGCAGTCCCGAAAACGCTACTCTCTGCCTCAATGTGTAGCCCCCATCCCCCATCATCTGGATGTGCTCGCGCAAATAGATAATTTTTTATTTCTGTCGCAATATGATCCGGGATTGGAGTTTCGGTGACAGTCCAAGTGATAACCAAGCCGGGAAGCAGAAACATTGGTCCACCATATTCACATGCCCAATTGCCTGGGGGAAGCTGGAGTTGTTGAAAGAATTCGAGGCAATTATTGACGGAATCAAGAGGACTCTGAGCTTTTGGTTGATCCGGTAAACCCTGTCCATACCGTTAGCAATGGTGTTATAGCAAGGTACAATTTCCATACTGTTGGCAATCCTAAGAAATACTTGTCTGCAGTTGTTTGAGGCCATTCCGCAGCATCTTCGTCATTTTCAAGGTAATGCCATGTCTGCCTACCTCTTTCGTCGAGTAAACGCCATCGCGAGTAATCTGTACGTTCCTGTAACTTTGGCCGTTTTGTAGTCTGCGTAGTATTCGAAGATTCAAATGATCTTTTTTCGCCCGTCTTTGCCTTGGTCTCGGTGTCACCCATAGGATTAAGTTTCGTTCTCGCCATAGTAAGAAAGGTTTAATTGGAACGCCGATATGATACGATTGTCAAAATATAAACTGTATAATTCTAATAAAGTTACGAGCTTTGGTGGACCCCTAGATATTTCAGGGGCCATTAAGGCGGTCAAGAATGGCAGCTAAAGGTCACCCCATTTTAGCGTATTCCACATTTTCTCGTCTCCCGTCTTCCCCGCGGATCTTCAAATGTTCCAATTTTAGACATCAGACGTCAAACATTCAAACATTCGAACATCTGAAAAATAATGTGAAAAATCTTCTTCAAACATCAACGGTTGATAAGGATGCACTTCTAGCTGATAGATGCGGAACTACATTTAAGAATGCTATGGACTTTGATCGTTTACAGCATATTCTGAAGGATACGCCGTCTTCATCATCTCAATTGCTACATGATTTACCTTCCAATAAACTAATCAGTGAATTAGATTCTACAGATCACAGTGATGAACAGAAATCCACGTCATCTCAACACGGAAAACACAGTAACGATACCAATCCGTTGACACCACCATTATCAACGCCCGAGAAGATTGAAGGTCTGAATCCAAGGAACACTTCTACACCATCTTACCAAACAGGATCTGCCATATGCAAAATCGAAGAAATTTGCGAGGCCATGACCGATTGTATTATCGGAAGAAGGAACCAATTTTCCATCCATTTAAAATCTCGAAGTCTGGGCACGAAAAATGTAATTCCAGGGAGCAAAGAAGTTTTTGGTTCAAGGGTTGTGCAGTTTCCCAGTTCCTCGCCTCGAGAGGCGTGGAAATTTGGTAGATCTGATGTCTCTGTTTGACAACCCTTACTAATATCAATATAGTTGCGTTGCTACGGATTCTGGAGCTCTCTCATGAGGCGCTTGTCACTGGAAATATCATCAGCAAGAGGTATACTATCATCACTTGGCACTGATGTCCGTTTCAGACTGACAATGCATCATTAGGGACATGTATTATCGAGACCCGGAGCTTTTTACGAAACAAGCAATTGTCGATCGTTTCGTAGATGACATCGCGTGTACTCTTGGACTGAAGCGCGACGCTCTGAATGTGGTCAGTGAACTCCTCGCCGCAACAGCGTCAATTCTTGGCTAACTCGCACTTCGCAGATGGCCGCTGCCAAAGGATTAGTTACAGGCTGGTTTACTATGAAGAGAAAGAATCAGTTCATAATGGATTATTCATCAGCAGCAGATGTTTGCTCCTAAGGACTCTCTTTGTGTCATACCTTCTCACTAGTTTTGCAGTCACAACTAGTACCATGGGTAAACGAAATAGAAGAGATGGACCTCTCGCAGGTTAAATGGATACTGGTAATTGAGAAAGAGGTTGGGCACACTTTAATGCGAGCTTACAATATCACTGACTGCAAATAGGCGACGTTTCGCACATTGGCAGAAAAGCGATATTGGGAATATTGCAATGCGGGGAGAGGGATATTACTTACAGTATGTATTTCGGAGTACTTCTTCTGTAATATTGCACAGGGCCTAATCATAACAGGCAAAAGGTTATCCTGATATACAAAGTCGACAGTTTCTCCACTATTTGGCGAAGCATTATCCAATAATACCGATATATGCTTTGGTGGACTTTGATCCTGACGGTCTAGGCATTATGTCCACGTACAAACATGGCTCTGTCGCACTCGCACATGAAAACGAAAATCTATCCGTCCCCTCGATGCGTTGGCTAGGACTTAAAAGTAAGGACATGATGCAAGGAGGAAAAGAGAACGAGGGCTTACTAAAGTTATCGGAACGCGACAGACGACTCGCAGTGAAGATGCTGCAAAGAGATGTTTGTCAACCGGGCGGAGATGAAAACGAATGGAGAAGAGAGATTCAAGTCATGTTGATGCTAAATAAGAAGGCGGAAATCCAGATTATTGGAAACGGCAATGCATTAGAGAATTGGCTGAATGAAAGTTTGGGAAAAGAAAAAATAAACTGAAAGTATTACGAGAAACAATTCTTTAATGGATCAACAAATTTATGAAACATTGGAATTTTTTTTTTGAGTGAGATCACAAACAAGTCGCGAAATACCTAGTACACAGACTAAAAACGTCGAAATTTTACCTTTCTATCTACCCAGTACACGACGTCATCACCTATCAAAATTGGGCAGTTTCAAAAATCAAACATCATGGCTCAAAAAGTCCAAAAAGTCCAAAAAGATAATTAAATCAACCACGCGCTATATTTCTCTACTCCACGTGAGCTGTGGCTTACCACACGATCTTGACGGTCACCGGGCCAGGGCTCCAGGTCAAGGTACTACAGGGACTGGGACTTGCCAACACGGCTATACAGCCGATTTTATGTGTTGACGAGAAAAGTGATGTGGTTCGGGTATTTGTATGGAGGAAGGCGGTGGCGGGGTGAATATGTGTGGTATGGGTTGGGGAATGGGTGGGAAGTGATCATGGGACGAGATGAGATGGGATGAGATGGTGTGGTTTGTTTGGGGATGTACCTTGGGTGAAGACTGGTGATACGTATGTTCAAACGGTATGATGAGTGATATTTCTGCTGCTTTGTATGTTTTTGTTTGTGGAATCAGCTGTGCTTGCTAGATGCAGTGGTTTTCGCGTTTGAATTTGTAATATATGCCGCTCGTGAATGCCAGCGGGATAAAATGATGTTAAGGTGACGATTGGGAAACATGTTCATATTATATTGCAATTAGCTATTCGTCGTAATCTTCTAATCTCCTAGTGGAAAATAGCAACACCGATGGAGTGATCTTGGGTATTGTATATTTTGGGGGTGTTAGAAAAACACTCTCGCATATATTTTGCGCTCAGCTCTCAAGTTACTTATTTGTTTGTGTAACTTTTTGTGACTTGTTTTTTCAATGATTTGGTGCTGAGATCTTTTGGATAGAATGACTTAATAGAAGCCTCCATGGAGGCATTCTTACTAATTTAATAAAGCTTTAGTAACCCATTCTATTGTCGTCTAATCTATCTTTGGGCATACTTGTGTATATAATCATGAGCTATATGTCTTGTGAAGAACACAAAATCCATCATTTTGGATTTCGATAAAACTAGATAATTTTGAGGAATTTATGGAATGAATTGCATGATGCATGTTCTGATTAGAAGAGTATCTTCACATTGGTATGAGGAAAGAATATTACCCTGTCAAGTGTCTAGAGGGATCAAACTGATCTTCTTCCATCACTTGATAATTTTACCGGCAATGAACCATCAAGTTTTTTCCACGACACTGTATTGTTTCTTGATCCTGCAGCATGTTTGCTTGGGGTAGAAAGCATTATGTTATTGTATTTCCCCAACTCCTGAGCCCTTGGGGATTCTGAATGCTTTATGGGATTATCTTCAGATATGACCTCATGATGACTGAATGAATATGCCCATGCTGGACTGACTATAAACTGTTGCGAACTCTTCATGTTTTTTTTAATATCTTTTTCTCTCAAAGGTGTTAATCTAATTCTTTGCCCATAAGTTGTTGTAGAAGAACAAGATATTCACTCTCTACACTGGAACCAAGGACTACTCACTCTGAGCTTTTAAACTTACATCTATATATTAACAAGTCAATATTCTCATCAGATCATAGAGAAGTAGTACATTCTTGGTCATTATGTATGGATCATAATATTACTTTCTTGGCTTTGATCATCACATCTGGATCTCGAAATTCAATAGCAGTTTTACTGTTACGATTTATATAATCTATGCTAATTGAATACTACAGCAGCTACAAAGCCTTCATCAATCTTTGAATCTCCAATCAACTTATCAGAAGAACAGCCACTTGTAATGATTCCAAACATGCATCTTAGCCACATTTCAATAATAATTTAAATTAGTTTCTCTGTCAGGACATGAATCATGTGTGACTATGAAGGAACCATAGTAGCTAGCGAAGTGCTAAGTCTCGAGAACCCCATCATCAGTGCTGCTTTTTATGGTTTTTATGACATCAAACATTGTGATAATTTAGATTCAATTACTTGTACTTTCATCCGTTCATTTAATACTAATAAAAAACTATACAAGACCAAAGTCAGTTGTCTTCTTGACGTTTTCGAGAACTTCTATTCCAACAGTACTTTTGTCCTGAAAGACAACAAATCGATTCTACAACCTCCCTATCCACACGCAGCCACATTTCAGATCAACGTCATGGTCGATATCACCAACAGGATCGAAGAAGCCGAGCGCCTCAAATCTCTGAACCCTTTGAGCTGCGAAGTAAAATTCACAGAGATAAATGACCCAGCTCGAAGACTATCAGAAGTAATTCTAGATAATTACCGAGTACTGCGTCGCATCATTGACTGCATAGAGGAAGCTCTTCGGCGACGGTGGACCAAAAAATCAAACGCGCAGCGACGTAAAATATTGCAGGATTGTGATATTGAACTATCTGAAACACATCACGCAGACTACACACAACTTTTTCGATGGCAGATGAACCCTGACAAAGATCCGACTTCTTCTATGCAATCGAACTCTGAAATCCTGAGTCATCGAAGTGATTTTCTACATCCACACCTGAACGTCGAAGATCTCACTAAGGTGAAGTCTATGCTCCTACTGATCAATTCTCGAGGTCGCAATCCTTCTCATCTCTATGCGAACGCAGATCTCAGGGTATCAGACTTGGGTGTTGTCGGTGGTTTTTTATCCTTAAAGTTTTTGAAGGATCATAATTTACTGCTCGAAGGAGAATCGGCGGAAACTTATGGACGGCTAGTTAAGTGGACAGACAAAAAGATGAAGGAAAGGATCCTGGCAGGGTTCCAATATTTGCCATATGAGGGTTTACTGATTCTTGAAATCCAGTACACTCTTTATTTGTTCCTTGTGAATTGGTGTCAGGCGCTTCTCCAGGACATTGAAATTGCCACAATATGGATGCTTCCTGTTGAACCAGAGCCACCGCTACTGGTGAAAACTTCCGATAATACAACGATAGCTTCAATAGCCATGGAGACGCCATATCGATTGCCCTCCGAGCTGGATTTCAATCGTCTGCGAGCTGTAGTCACTGCCAAGCGACTTAGTGCGGAAGATTACATCCACGATTTGAGGGAGGACCCCGGTATCTTCGCTGATGCTATGATGGAAGCAAGTGACCATAGACTAGAGAGAGTACTAGATGATGAGGGCAGAGCTGATTCATTTGTAAGCACGCCAGAATTCTGGGAAGGTGTCACTCGGCGTGTGGTAATGGATGCATGTTTTGACATAATGAGCTGAGATATCATAAGCAAACAACTCGAGCGAGCGCCTAGCTATGCTTCAGGGCAAATATTCCGCTTTTATTCATCCGGAAAGTTGTCTACCAGAAGAGTTTCTAAAGAAGTTGTTGAGCTTTAAGAGCGTGCTCAAATTCATACAAGCGGGATCTAGGAGTAACTTGACTCAGGGACTTCCAGCTTCCTTGCCTTTTCGCGATGAGTTACATCGAGGATCGGAAATTTCTAGTTGCGGAGAAGTTACTCAAAGATTTGGCAGAGGATATTCTAAGAGCGAAGATCTTATGATTTAGCTTTTCGAGACAATATTTTCTCCAGAAAAAAAGACGTCCCTAAGTTTATCTGCAATCATGGATGAGATCGAGCACATGATTGAACAGGATCTCGAATTAAAGGTGAAAATCACACCGTGGGTATCCCTAGTACTTTCTGATCTGGGACTAATTATTCGATTTGGACATGAGCTAGATCTTTATCTACCATGGGCAACAGGTTTCCAATAGACATGGAAACACACAAGAACTGGCTCAAAAATGACTTGCGAGACCGGTGTTCAGAATTACAAAGGACACAGCATTATTTAACATTCGCTTTTGAGTCATTGAAAGCGCTAGGAGACCCTACTGATGGAAGGTCCCTCTATCCATGTGACCAGCGGCGAATCAAGAAGATTACGGAGGCAATGCAAAGTGCTGAGGGAAGGTTAGACTATTTTTGGACGAAGCTGGATTTCGAATATCGCCGAGTCTCCCGCAGAACTTTGAATAAGAGTGTTGGCCATATATTTACCAATATTCGGACTGTAGAGAGGACACCTGATTGGATTGCGCCAACCAGACCAACAAGAGTCTTTCCTAAAAGTTTCCAAGCTCCTACCATGCCGCAGTTCTCTACTGATGAGCTAATATCCAGCTTTGTTGCTCCTCGAGAGAAAATCAAGCCAAAAACCGGCGGAGAACCTACCTCCTCTGCGAGCATTGTTGAAGATACCTCAGAGGCACTGACATTCAAGCCCAAAGAACGAATCTACAAGCTCAAAGCGAGAGCTCTGAAAGTGTTTAAAGTTCTCTTTTTCCAACCTTCTGAGAGTAACATTCCAGGGGATCTACCTTGGACCGAGTTCAAGTACGCTATGGGAGCAATGGGCTTTAGCGTACACAAGCTTGATGGCTTGGCATGTGAATTCACTCCTCCTTCGACTGAAGAATATGAAGGAAGACATGGCATACAGGTACATGAGCCGCATTCTCCGGGTAGTACGGCTAAGATCCCTTTTCAACTTGCAAGGAGCATGGGAAGGAGATTGAGCTACACTTATGGATGGAATGGTGGGATGTTTGTGAGTGACTAGGCAGGGAATGGAAGGGCAACGCAGACTACGACAATCTATCTTGTATGGATGAAACCTTGATTATATGAGGAAGGAAGCGAAGGCATAATTGGATATGAAAAGTGTTGTGGAAATCTATGGATAACAATATGGGATGATTCGGATTGGTTAAAATTAAGTGCAAGTTTCCGAGGTTTAGTATAGAACAGGATTGATTATTAGAGATGTTTTGTTTGTTGCTATGAACTTCCTAGCCATTCTCATGCTATTTTGTGAAAATTGGTGACTGGCAAAATACCGTATCCAGATGAATCTGAGCAGTGAGGAGCCAAGCAATGTTTTCAAAGAGTGCCAGATCATACAAGAAATTGAAGAAGCCAGAGGCATCGAATACTACCAGCGATCGACATCGTCAGGAGATATTTGCTACCAATAATGACTAGAATGTTGTTGCTGCAGTCAAAAACGACCTCCAGAGCCACTTTTGATACCGGTCGCTTGCGCGATCCCTACTGGGATCCTCGCCATCTCCTTCTGTAAGACTCTAGACAGTCTGACATGGGTGGGGATATAAGACATTGACTCTTTTACAAGACTTTGGCACAGAAACTGTATCTTGAAATCTCGAAATCCACGCATAGTAACAACAGTCCAATGCCTGCAGTTCCGAAAGCCAGATTAGTGACCTCCGGTCAAATATTCGAAGTGACTCTTCACTTCCCAAAATCATTCTCTGTTTGTTGTGACTAGAGCAACGTATATATTTCCAGCGGTAAATTATTTCCAAGAAAGGATATGAATACTCAAGTGGAACGCAATAGTTATTCTCATCAGTTCTACTGGATCAGAGAGCAAATCTTATAATCTGGCCCATGGATCCATGCGTTTACAATATGCTTAGTCGGCATAATTTCAAGCTTCGCTAAATCAGAAGATGATCCACTATTTTTTGAGCTAACTCCATCTCGGTTAATTCTATTCGTCCCGACTGAACCGTTACCATGAGCCAAAGCTCAACAACCATACTCATTCAAAAATTAGTCAGTCCAAAAGAGAAGCAAATTGAATAAGACAATAAAAAGAGGAAAAAGAAGTTGGTCAAAATGGCAAAAGAAGAACCTGGCGAGGGAACCCAGAAGCGACATTAGACTTGCTGTACTGAAACTACGTCAATCAGTCGAGTAGATATTAGTAGCGGCCGCTATTATTGAACTACAAGAGTATTCATGACTTATCGAGAGTATGACAATTTTCTTGGTGTATGTAGTTTACAAGATTCGGTCCCTCGTTTGTATATGTATGCGGGAGTGGTTACCTTCTGTACACTGTAGATTTCATTCTGTATTTGTTATCGAAAAGGAGAGGGAGGCGTTGATGGAAAATGATTTGATCTGGAAAAATACTCTTATTGAATGATGAGCTGGGGATTTAGAACTATATCAAGACATGTATGATTAATGATGAAAGATACAGTTTGGCTTTCGCTGCTTCGATTTCACTGCGAAGTAAACATTTTATGTCTCGAGCTCCGATTACATGTATCAAATGTTACGTCAAGGCAAAGCGAAATTACCAGTCAAACCATGGTCTTTGAACATGACTCCTGGTTGGACAGACAAAGGTGATGGAGCCACCAGAGTCTTGCTCTGGAATTAAGTACACGTAACACACACGTGAAAGTCATGTGTCGTCCGTGCCGCTCGCTTATCTCTCAGTACTATGTATGATATAAATACCTCTACCCCACCAAACGATTTCATCTCCCTTCATCGTTCCATCATGCCAATAGTTAGCAAGACGTACAGTCGAAGAAGGGGTGGTTGTCACCAACGCGCTTGTGATAGGACACGGATTGGCGCAAGAGGCTTGACAAATATCTCATCTTACCGACCCGGATTTGGACGTGGATTCAGGCATCCCTCCGTGCCCGAAGTTACTTGTAACAGTTTTCCATTTAGCAAATGCTATCAATGCCGTTCTATGCAAGATCTACGTCTTCAAAAGTCCATCACCGAATCTGCGGATACAGATCTGTCATTAACAGTCCCCAAATTTCATCAATTTCCACTCTTACCAGTGGAAATTCAGTCAGAAATCTGGTCTTTCGCAGCTCTACACCCTCGTACCATTCCTATTTTGACTCACTGGATACCTCCCGAGAATCTAGATACATCAATTTCGCCACATCGAGGAAACGCGGGGAGCATTAACATTACCCCCCTCTCTCGAATCCCCCCTCTTTTGCACACATGTTCTAGCTCACGAGCAATAGCGCTTCTCAAATACCGCATCATGGGTAACGAGCCTCGTTATCTAGGTGAGGATCTGTTTGATGATGAATATCTTGATGAAAATGGTCTTCTCATTGATGGCAATTATGAGATTACTCGAGGATTTTACATCAATCCCTCAGTTGACATATTGTACTTCACTTCACATGTAGAAGATCATTATTTCAAACATAACACTAACTGGAATGGAAACGAGCCCAAAGATTTGAAAGCAGGCATATTCGCGGAAACTCTCCATTTTCCAGTCGATGATGTGTTAGATTTGTTAACGGGGTCTGAGATTGATAAAGAAATCAGATATTTGGCTTTTGATCTCGATCTCCCCGGAGTGGGACACAGGATCTTAGGAGATTCTGGTTTAGCGTTAAGTCCTATTGGAAATTGGACGGGTCTGGAGAGAGTGATATTCTGTTTGGGGGGTATTGATGGTGTTAACAACGCGGCCGAAAAAGATGAATTTCCAAAAGACTCAAAAGGAAAAGGGAAAGAAACATTCCCCGTTGACAAAAGACACGAATATAGTTCCTCAGTCATAGATTTCGAGAAAGAGACAAAACTTTACGGGATTCGGGAATCCTTCACCGGCCCGTCGGCAGGGAAAGGCAACGCCTTGTTCAAAAAATGCATATCTAAATACTCGCAATTTTCTGGAGATTTGGTTTCTCAATCAGAAGAATGGTTCGAATGTCTCAAACCGACCGGGAGTTTAGGTGTAGACGGACGGCCTGCTGTTAGTTATACGGGTACATTAGGGTTGGGGTCTCTCGGGCAAAACGGTGACATGGAGGGGGGAGAAAGACTGGATATACTACCAGTTATAGGTTTTGGGGTAGTGAGTAATTACATCAGTGGTGAAGAAAGAGACCGTTGTGGATTGGAAGAAAATCCATTTGAGAAAATGTGTTATGATGGGTATGTATCATTTGAGAAAGATGAGGCCAACGAGAACAGTGTCTTTGGGTGTTCGGTGGTTATGGGTGAAGACTGATCTTATTGGGCGGGAAGTGGCCAGGAGAGCATAAATTATGTTACATTTCATCAGTATCAAACTCTTTCTTTACCTCTGTTCGTTATTCTGAAAAGGGAACCTCCCTTGCCGCGTATCTTCGTACTCTACAACGCACAATCGGTGGGTGACTCTGACATCGATTTCTACAAGCTCCATACCCGTTTTCTCTCTCTTCAATCAAAAGCCATTCAAATGCCAAAAAACTCTCATTCTCTATCTTTTTGACTGCAACAACTCTTGAATACTTTACACAAACTTTATTTATCTTTTTATCCTCTACTTCTATATTCTTCAGTACTCCAAATATACTTCCTCGTCCCACCACCTCAACCCCGCCCCTTTCTCTTCATCAGCTTCCGGTACCATACCGGACTCTAAGTTGCACATCGGAGATAATCTCACATGCTATTCTTATTCCCAGCTCATGTCACGTTTCCCAAACGCGTCGCAGAGACCGTTCACATCAGATATGCAACAAAACCTATGGTCAGAGAGAGTCATGTGATTTTCATTTTAGTCAATAGGGAATTGATTGAGCTAAATACTTCTGGTTATGTGAGAGGAGTGTAGTATTTATAGAGTTTTGGGTATTGAAGATCTATTTGAGGAAAAGTAAACTCATTTCCTAATAGCATTCATGAATATCAATTTTCATCCGCGAGTGCTTCGTAGAATATGTTTGCTGGACGATGCAATTGGAGGTTTTGATAGATATGAATATGTGTGGCTTTCAATTGATACCTGGATATAGTGAGTTTAATGGAATTCTGATTTTGTTCGAAAATGTTGGAATCTGGATGCATAGCTTTAGTACATTTAACGTTCCATTTTCATACTTAGAAATAAATCCTCCGTCTTCGAATTGTAGAGATTTGATGAAGATTCAAGACACCAATTCTGATATAAATAGATACAGATTTGGAGATAAATGAAAACTGCACGATGACGAATCTTTCTATCTGTTCCCCATGGCTAGTTGCTAAAACTTACGATCAACGTATCGCGTGGTCTGTCTTAAGGTACTCTTACCAGAAGAAGGTGGGATCTTTGATAGCCGCTATATATGATGGAATGGTAGCATGATATTGGGGAACAAAGCACAATTTAAGGAAACCCTAAAGAAAGTAAAGTTAAAGTTCATGATGTATATCGTTAGTGAAACTCATAAGCTCGTGGAGTTTAACGGCAACAATTTCAATTGCATGAGAGTACTGGAACCTACCGCTTCAGCTCTCCAGACTAATAGATACTACTGAACCCCCTGTCAGCGAAGCATCTCACACCCTTCCCCTCCACAAACATGTCAAAAGTTACACCGTGAACAAAAAACTTCACAACATCAAACCAGCAAAAACCATCGAAAATTTGTAGGAAACAAATCTATTGAATTTAAAGCCGAATATAAAGCTAAAACTAGCAAGATTATTCAAGCCTTCCTATCTATAAAGCTGCCAAAAGCTAGCTATAATAATGATACCATATCGGTATCTATTATGTATCTATTTTCCACGCAATCATCAATTATGATTTTCAACAAACGAAATTTTCTTGACCCCGTTCACTCTCTCATTACCCCTCCGCCACAGCAGCATCCCACGCTTAAAAAGGAGAATAGGTATAATCATTTCCCAAATTGCTGAGACTTCCATCTGCATTGCACAAGGAACCTTGCGGCTCGAGGTTGTAGTCGGAGGTGCACATGAACCAGGAATAGCGGGAGA